ACGCCCCAGAGGGGCACGAAACGGGCACGGTCTCTCTCTCCCCCCAATTCATCGCCCCCCCCATCACAACCAGCGCCCGATGGGCGCTGGTTTCCTGGTGGTTGGTCAGGCTCTCCCAGGTGTCTGGCCCAGCCGCCGCCTTTCGGACCGCCTTGCTTTTGGCCTGCTTTTGGTCGGCCCTGAGTGGGCTCCCCTGGGGCCCAACGGGGGCACGATAGGTGAACGGTTCTTCGCTCCCCCATTGATCCTTGGCATCGCTTGGATGTGTGCACCTTCTTTTCGGCGAGGATCGTCGAGGCGCATCTTGGACCATGTTACGGAAAGGAACGCACGAAACCTACAAATATCGAACAATGCACGGGACTGGACGTGGGGGCGATGGCCAGGATCGCCCCCCCCAATTAAGCATCGCCCAAGGCGGAGGCCACAGCGGGCAGTGAGGTACGATGGGCGTCCGCGGCCTCGCGGGTGTTTGTGGGCCCTGGCCCCTGGGCCCGAGGCCGCCGCCTGCATGCTTCCCGTCGGCGAGGAGCAAAGGGGGAAGTGAGAAGGAGGAGGCCTTCTCAGAAGGCGGCGGGGCTTCTCAGAAGCCCTCCGGCCCTCTGAGAAGTTCGTTGTATCTTCGCGGCAGGCTTAGAAAACATCTCGGAGAAGGATGGATGACTTCTGAGCCTTCTGAGAAGGCCCGCCCACTCTCGCTTCCCCCCTGGGCTGGCCGCGGATCTTGCGTGCCCCTCTCCGTCCCCTCGTCGCAGCATCCATGACTCGATGCCTCCCAGAGAGAGGATCACTCCGCGTCGCCGATGCATCGCTGATGTATCGCCGATGCGATTCGATGTGGAACCTCATTTTCTCCACGCCGACGGCGCCGATGCATCGCCGACGTCGCCAGTCGATGCATCGCCGATGCATCGGCGATGCGGCGCGATCCTCCGACCCCATCTACTCGGACGCAGATCGGGATGCCTCAACTGATTGTTATCCTCTTCCTTCCGCGGGGTGTTGCTAGAAGTGGGCCTGACCCCGAACGTTTCCTTCGCTTTCCGCGCCAGTTTGGAGCTCCTGGGGCCCTCTAGGCCTCGTGAGGGGCTTAAATGGCCATCTGGGCCTCCACGCAAATCTTGGGGGCACCATGGGCCAGGGACGCTTTTGGAAACACCCGATTCCTGCCCTCGGGCCCGCAGGTGGGGGCTACAGACGCCCACTTCCACCTCATCGAGTGGGTCTGGCTCTCAGCGGTCGCGTGGCATACCCATCGGGGTGGGCCGCTTCCTTTTTCTCGCAGAAGCGAAATTGGCACAAACATGATTTCTCGGAGGTCCGCGCAGATTATTCGGATCGGCATTGGGCCCCCTGGAAGCGCCTCCAGCGCCGCCCCTGGCGCGCTCCGCGCGCCAGAAAAAAAAAGGGGCCCAGCGCCGATCCAGGAAACCCACGTGAACCTCCAACAGTTAATGTTTATGCAAGTGTGTCGTTCATCTATCTAGTGGCCTTCGGCCCATCCCGCCACTGTGCCTGGGTTGTGGGTTAGAGGCCTCTTGTATGTTCGTTGGGGTTATCGTGTGAGGCCTCTCGGGTGTCTCTTGGAGGCAGGTTTGAGGCCTCCTGAGGGCCGTTTTGGGGTCTCTAGGGGCCTCTCTGTGGGCTTCTTGGGGGCCTCGTGGGGCCTCGTCGGCGCCTCTTGGGGCCTCTTGGAGGCCTCTTGGGCCTCCTGGAGGTTTCCTGGGGCGGAAGGTTTGAATTGTCGGATCGTGTACCCCCTCTTGGGCAACCTCTTGGTCACCTCTTGGGGCAGTCTTGGGGCTCTTTTTGGGCCGTCTTGGGGGCCTGCTGGGGCGTTTTGGGGCCCTCTCTGGCAGTCGTGGGGCCATCTTGGGGGCCTCTTGGGCCGTCTTGGGGCGGTCTTGGGGGCCTTTGGGGCCTTCCTTGGGCCTGGGAAGCCCGAAAACGCGAGAACGCAGAAAAACATGGAACACACACACACACAAGGAAAATACGTGATGTGTGAATATTGGGGCCCTCTTGGAAGTCCTCTTGGAGTGCTCTTGGGGATTATGTGGGGCCTCTTGGGCCGTCGTGGGGTCATCTTGAGCGTCTAGGAGCGCTCTGGGGCCGTCTTGGAGGCCTCTCGGACCCTCTTGGGCGCTCCTTGGGCGCCCTCTTGGCTTGTTTTGAGGCCCTCGGGTGGATAAAGCATGAGCAGTGCTTGCGCATGCTCTGAGTCAAATTAGCAGAGCGGCGCTCTGCTAATGAGAGAAGGAGCAGTGAACGGCCAATGCTCTGAGACCAGTTGGCAGAGCGGCGCTATGCTAATCAGAGCCCGAGCAATTAGCAAAGTAGCGCTCTGCGAACGAGGGGAGGAGCAGCGAGTGCGCATGCTTTGAGGCCACTTCGTAGAGCGCCGCTCTGCAATGTTGAGCCCGAACAGTATGGAAATGCATGGTCGGGCCCCCTTTAATAGAATCCAGGATTCAGGACAGAGAACATCTGAGATCCTGGGGGTAACACTTCGTGCCTCGAAGCACAGTGGCGGATTTCAGCCCTTCCTCAGTCACCACCCGGTCCGCTCGTTCGCTCGGCGTTCGAGGGAGGGGGGAGGGGCGCTGCCGAGGGATCTTTCTTCGCAGTGGGCGCGGACTCAGGCCGTGACGTTGGCACGAGCGGATGCGTAGGATGCACGCGTGCGGATGTGCGCAAGGCAGGCCCCCGTCGATCATCCCTTGGCTCTCTCTCTCTCTCTCTCTCTTCTGCCTCCTCTGCCCCTGCCTCCCTCGCCTTCTCTTCCTGCCATTGTTCCCCAAATAGTGCTTGTGTTACCTAACGAATCGGATGGGTGCTCAGGGGTTTCACCTAGTCTCCGGTTGCCGGGCGCTCGTGGACGCCTCGTGTTGGGTGGGGGTGCCGCGCCCGTTGCTGCCCTTGCGCGCTTCGTGCGCTGGGTGGGTGTGGCGAGGTTTCGCTTGGTGCCCACCCATCGGCGCTTTGTGGGGTCCTGCGCTGGGTGGGTGTGCCGAGATTTCGCCTGGTTTCTCCCTAAGGGCGTCTTGTGAGCGCCTTGTGCGCTTGCCGGCCGCATCGATTTGTATTTCTTGGGTTTTACCACATAGTTTGCACCTCGTAGCTGACACTACACGAAGTAGCTTACACCACAGCTTGCACCACACAGTTCGAACACCACATATTACACCACATACATCGCATCGATTACACCAGATAGCTTAAACCACGTAGTGTGTACCGCATATACTGGTTCGTCTTGATACAAATCGGATTTCTCCTTTCCCGAGCTTGGACATATCGCCCCCCCAGGACATTGCAATACATGGAGGATTCGGGCCCACTGTTCATCGTCCAAACGAGTTCATACCATCCCAGGCCAACTGAATCCTCTCACCTCCGGTCATCGCTGTCATCAGACAAGATTATGCGCGCGCATTCGATTATGTTATAATCAGTTGCCAAGAGTCCATTGCACAAAACATATCGTCGGTGGTGCTAAGTCGTCCCCGCTTTCCCTGGGCTTGCACCTCGGTAAAACAAGATATCGTCATAACAGTAGAACTATCGTCACCACATTTTCAAGATTTTCCCTTTGCGCGGTAGCGTCAGCAAGTTTATGTTGACTGGGGTCCCGCTGTGGGGTCGTGGAGTTGCGAGGTCGTGGGGTCGCGTGGTCCTGGGGTTACTGGGTCCTGGGGTCCTTACGTCCTGGGGTCGCCTGGGCGTGTGGTTGAGGAGTCGTGGGATCGCGGGGTCGTGCGGTTGTGGGGTCGTGGGGTCGCGGGGTCGTGGGGTTGTGGGGTCGTGGGGGCGCGGGGTCGTGGGGTCGTGGGGTCGTAGGGTCGTTCGGTCGTGGAGTCGTGGAGTCGTTCGGTCGTGGGGTGATGGGGCGGTGGGGTCGTTGGGTCGTGCAGTCGGGGGGGTTTCGGGCGGTGGGGTCGTGGGGTGGTGGGGTCGTTGGGTTGTGGGGCCGTGGGGTCGTGGGGTTGTGGGGTCGCGAGGTGGTGAGGTCTTGCGGTTTGGGGGCGGTGGGGTCGTGGGGTTGTGGGGTCGCAATTGGGGTCGTGAGGCCATGGGGTTGTGCAGTCGTGGGGTCTTGGGGTCGCGGGGTCGTGGGGTCGTGGGGTTGCGATGACGTAGGGTCGTGGGGTCTGGGGCGTTGGGGTCGCGCGATCGCGGGGTCGCGGGGACGCGGGGTTGCGCGTCGCGAGTTCAAGGGAGAACGTTGAAGGGGAGGAGCAGGAGGAGGAGGAGGAAGAGGAGGACGAGCAAGAGGAAGAGGACGAGGAGGAAAAGGAGGACAAGGAGGATTTGGATGAGGAGGGGCGGAGAAGGAGGATGAGGTGGAGGAGGAGGATGAGGAGAAGGTCGGTTGCCATTTTGGCTCAAGATGGGATCAGGTCCCACAGCGAGCGGGCAGCTTTCTTTCGAGCCATCCAGCGTGTCGTGCGCTGGCGGGCCCGCCCCCGGTCTCACCACAATCCAGCTGGAATGTCCGCAGTCATCGTTGTCGAAGACTACCAACAGGCTGGGTTCATCAGGTTGCACGACGATGCCGCCGCCTTCCCGTCTCAGGATATGCCGCGCCGTGGGCACGGCGATGTCGGAGGTACCCAGTCGCCTGACGGGAAGAGAGCACGTCCGTCTGAAGATCCGTCGGCAGCTGTGGATTACCCTCGCTCTTTTGCCAGTGATACTAGAATTGAGATGTCGGAAGCCGCCCAGCGGTTGCAGGCCCAGGTCGCCGCCTTCGGCAACACGGTCTCCGGCAATTGCGACACCATCTCCAAGGCCGTCGAGGTGCGTGTCGTCGAGATCCACTCCGTTCAGGCTGCCACCATCTCCCGCGTCTCCATTTTAGGGCAGCAGATGGCCGAGATGCGCGCCCTCCTCCACTGTATCAAACGAGAAGAGCCATCCGTCAACCTCGTCGACACTTCTCTCGACAGGAGGGTTGGCCCGTGTATCATCATCGGGAGATCTAAGTCGGTCGTCGCACGCCGGGAGGTCGAGAGAGCCGTTGCGCCGTGGTTCCAGCAAGCTCAGATCGAGCAGAACGGTTGCTCGGTTCACGTTCCGCATCATGGGGAACGCCACCTACGCCGCGAGAAAAAGTGGTTCAGGCCATTGGAGCCTTGCGCAAGCCTAGTGGAGAGTGGGAGAAGTTCATCGTTTCAGACGCTCAGGGCCAATCAGCCGCACTGTTCGTCACAACGGGCACAGCGCCGGCCATGGTCAAGAGGGAGGTGGGCCTCATGCAGATTCGGAAGGCATTAGAAGCTGAGGCAGCTGGCTTCAGATTCTTCAGCGACAAGCAGAAGGGTTAGATTAGTGCCGACTGGAACCCGCTCGCGAAGGTCAGACCACTCCCTGGGGATGAACAGTGCAAAGTCGAGTAGTGCATCCCGATCCTCGCCGAGCTCGGAATCTCCAAGGGGCGCGTTGCTGGCAGGTTCGGCGCTGCTGGACAGCCGGCGGCGCCGCCCCAGATGTTTTTAATTTCTGCGCGCGCACTTCCTTACCATCACCCTCATTAGCGCCATCGCATCACCGCCGTCATCGTCATCGTCAATCGCCGCAAATGCAACCATCAGCATCATCATCATCATCATCATCATCATTATCATCATCAGCATCCTTAACACCATTCTCATCAGCATCACCATCATCATCACAACCACGATCATCTTCATCACCAGCACATGGGTGTCATCAGCATCGCCATCGTCGTCACCATCGTCGGTGCCGGCATTGGCCTTGCCGTCGTCATCGTCGTCATCGTTACCACCATCGCTACTATCATCATCGTTGCCGCCGATGCCGACGTCCGCATAATACCGCGCCCGTTCGGGTCAGTGGCCCGCATTGAAGTGTCTACAAAAGCCAGCGTGGCGTTCGTGACGCGCTGGGAGCTCCCATCCGTAAGCGCCATCGCGGCCGCATCCGCTGTGCCAAACCAGCCGGTCGCCCTGCGCGCGAGGGTTCGCGCGCCAGCGCGGCAGCGCAGATGCGCTTGAAATTGGCAATTGGCAACCGCAGTCTTGGCCGCTTGCGTTTTGCCAACCAGCGTGAGGTTGTGGTCGAGCCCAGTGCCAGCTGCAGGTTTTGGGCGACCTCCCATGCCGCCTTCTCCGGCATGGGCCCGGGGCGCGCGTGGCGGGATCAAAAAAAAAATCAACCCAACACAGAGTGCGGAACCCGCCCGGGTTTCCGTGACACGCCGCCCCCATCGTGTCCCCGCCCAGCAGGTGGGGGAAAGGAGGGCCGGGGCTAAGAAGAGAATGCGAGATTCGATAGAGTCGCGCCGTCCAACTGCACGACAAAAGCCTCGGGTCAGCACAGCGTGCAGAGTCATAGTGGGCAAAAGTCGAGCTCCACAGCGGACAACAGTCGACACCGTGAAGACAGCAGAGCCAAACCCTGGTTAAAAGACGGAGGTGGGGATCAAGCTTCAACGATGTTCGCAAGGCAAACTAAGTGATCAAAGTGCAACGCGCGAGGATAACAATACATTGAATTCGTATAAGTGAGGCAAGCTGCACGGCTGGAGGCGCCCTTTTGGCCAGCAAGAAGGAAATACGAACAGATTGTATCAACGTCTTGCTAGCCAGACATGCCGGAAGAAGGTCGCAAGTGTATGTGGGCATATGCAACACACTCAGAGAGCCAGGTGGCACGGTGGAGAGGTGATATCATGTGGGCAAACATGTCAATGCACGAGGGGGCCCTTAGACCGCGAGCCCCCCGAACCGATGTGGCCAGCGGACAGCCGAACTGGCCGGTGAGATCGTTTTGCCGCTGTCAGTCGCACCTGTTCTTGCAGTGCGTGCTGATAGCGTTCCTCCAGGGACCACGTAGAGGTAGATCTCGTCCCTTGGTTTCGCGAACTATGTCGTGGGTTGGAGGGTTGGATGGTTGCGTTAGCTTTGGATCTGGCAACTCACAAGCTGACATAAATTCATCGCGCGTAGCTTGCACACTGCAGCTTGCACCGCAGAGCTGGCGCCACATATGTGGCACCACGTAGTGTACACCACATGGTTTGCACCACATACTTTGCACATCCACACTGCAGTTGAGCATTTTTTGTTGGGCCCACGCTGGCCAACATGATGTTTGCCGTATCCAAGTGGCCTGCGGTCCATCCCGTCACCGTGCCCGGGCCACGGGTGAGATGCTGTCGAGATGTTTCATTGTGTCTTTGTTTTTTTGGGGGGGGTCCTGGGGGACATCGGTGGGGCATTGTGGGTGTTTGGGGGGGGTCAGACATGTATCTCTGACATCCCCATGTGGCTTTCTGGCTTCGTGCTGGTGGGAAGAGGCTTCGCCACCGTCCTCAGCATACAGTGGGGGCGCGCATCACGAAACCATGTGCTTTTCGTCAGGGTATCCTTGGTTTCTTTGCTCCTCGCGCTGCGCGGCGACTTCCCGCGGCCGTTGAAGGAGCTGCTGCGTTCAGGGTGCTCAGGGTTTCCCCTCCAGTGCACCTCGCGCGCGGGTTCTCAGGGTTGGGTTTATTGCGACGGTTCCTTGCGGCCGCGCCCGCACTGTACCACGAACTTGCGAACTTGGGCCCCTCTTGGAACATACTTTCTAAACGTGTACCTTTTTCCTCCAGGGCGTTGAATGGTTTATGTTTGTGTGGTTCTACTCGGACCGCTCACGGGGGGCTCAAGAGGCAAGGTTGAGGCCCCTTGGAGGCCTCTGGGGAGCTTCTTGGGGGCCTCTTGGGGCTTTCTGGTGGTACCTTTGAGGCGTCTTGGGCGCCTCTTGGGGGCCTCCTGGGGTCTGCTGGGGGTGTCTGGGGGCCGAGTGCTTGACATGTCGCTTCGGGCCACACTTCTGGGTTTCCTCGTGGAGCCGTCTTGGGGGCGTTTGGCCCGTTTTGGAGACTCCTGGGGCAGTTTTGCAGCCCTTTCTGCGCCCTTTGGAGACACATTCGGGCGGTTGTGAACACACCTTGGGCCGTCTTGTAGCGTTGTGAAGCCGAAACGGCGAGTGCGCCCAAACATCTCAACACACATACGGCGAATCCATGTTTCCTTGTGGTGCCTCCTTGGGAGGTCGTGGGGCGTCTTGAAGGCATCTTCGGCCGTCTGGAGGCCATGTTTGGGGGTCTTGCCCTCTTCGACTCTTGGGGGCCTCTTGAAGTCTTCTTGAATCCGTCCTGGGAGGAGCACGGGGAGGAGGAAGCGGAGGAGGAAGAGGAGGCGGGTGCGGAGAAGTCGGACAATGGGGAAGAGAATAATAACGGTTATGCGGTATCATGTGTTCGACGTAATGAAGCATTGCGTCCCTTCTGTACATGACGGACGTAGTATACGCACAAGTATTCCATGTTGCTTTGATGTTCCAGTTCCCGCTCGCGTGTTCAAACGCCCCGTGCTTGGTATGATATAGTCTCGTTCCTTATCTGCTGCTCTGTTTGTGCGCTGCCGCGGTCTGCGTTAGAACATACGCGTGCGAAGCGCGAGCGTCGTTCTCGTACGCGTGCATGTACTCATACATGCGTACGTGCATACACACATTTCTATATTTATATATATATATATATATACATATGCACATACGTATCGATATACATGTGTTGGTTTGCTTGTCTCTCTTTCTATTTCTCTATCCCTCTATACATGGGTGAATACATACATATATATATGTATATATATATCGCTCTCGCTCTCTCTCTCTCTCTCCAGTTATCTCTGTATCTCTCTCTCTCTCTCTCTTCTCTCTCACTCTCTCCTGTGATCCTTATCTTTCTTTCTCTGTCTCTCTCTCTCTATATCTCTCTCTAACTCTCTGTGTATATGTCACCCTCTCTACCTGTTTCTCTCGCTCTCTCTCTCTCTCTATCTATCTCATCCCTCTCCACTCCTATGCGTCCCCCCCCTCTGTCCCCACCCCTCCTCGCTCCGCCCCCTCCACTCCTGCCTTCTCAGATTCTTCGTTCTCTCTCGCCTGCGCGCGCGAACTTCTTCTGCAGAACTTGCAGTCCTTGTGCATTAGTTATGTTTAGCGGCTACGTCCCTTTCCGCACGGCTTCACGATCATCGGCGCCCTTATAGTCCTTGCGACCTCGGTGTTTCTGGCCCGACCCGACACTTTCATGTATGATCTCTGGTGAGGAGGAGGAGGAACAGGAGGAGTTGTTCAAGTTGCGTGCTAAGGCCGAGCACCACGAGCTCTGACGCACCCTGTCGCGTGCCCTTCAATGGAGCGCATGGATAGCTTGTTTCTGCAATCAGTTGGAGTGGATGTTGAGCCGACGTGGAGAATCATCCCAGCAGACGGCACATTCAATCCATGGTGTCGGGGCCCGTTGCCCCTTTTGGTGCCCGTGGCGCAGTAGAGGCCCAACAGACGCGCGAACGTCTGTTGTGATAAAGGGATCAGTTGCTGCAAGGTGGGTCGGGGGACGAGAGTCGTGCGCGAAAAACGCATCTGTCTCCCCGACCTCGCGGGCTGGGCCTATCCGTGCGACCGCGTGTCCACGGGATCCGCGCCGGAACCTTGACCGCGAGGGCGCGGATACGGATATGGTCGCCGCTCATAAGACAGTGCTCGTGGAATCAGGGCGGAAGGCTTGTGTATTTGTTGTTGAGTTCGAGGCTCACGGATGATGAGGAGCTGTTTCTTGCATCCTGCCAGCTCCTTGGCTGAGACATCTCGCACCTATAATGAAACAGTTTCGGGCCCATCAGGGGTTCTCTCGGGGGCATCTTGGAGGCCATCTTCAGGTCGCCTTAGGCAATCTTGGACATTATCGGGGCGGGCTATGTTTAAGACTGGGGCCATCTCGAGGGCGTCTTGGGGGCCATCTTGGGGCCGTGTTGGGCCATCCTGGGCGATTTGGGCGACATTTTGAAGCCTTTTCGGGCCAGCTCAGGGCCGTCTTGGGCAACGTCGGGGGCCCTGTGGGCCGACTTGAAGCGAGATAAGGGGGACATCGGAGGGAAAAGCACGACAAGCTCGAACAACCGCATAAGGCAGTTGTTCAATGCCGTTTGCCCTCTCGGGGGCGTCTTGGCGCCGTCTTCGGCCCTCCTGGGCTCTTGCAATCCTGCCCAGAGCGCGCCCCTGGAGAGGTCCTAGAGCCGATATGGTGGGGAGGAGGAGGAGGAGGAGGAGGAGGAGGAGGAGGAGGAGGAGGAGGAGGAGGCTGCTGCTACTGCTGCTGCTGTTCTCTTCTTCGGAACCCCCTTGGGCCGTCTTGGAGGCCTCTGGCGGCTGCGTCCAGTGGAGGACCCTGTGGCAGCAGCCTGGAGCGGCCGGGCGCTTCTGGGGCCCCCTCACCTCAGAGTGTCTTTGATGCTGCACCCCCCCCCGCCTTAAAGCTCTCGGCTGGCAACGGTCGTCCTCCCTTCACCTCCTCGCCCTCCGCTTCTCGCCCTCGAGGTCGTGATCGTCGTGATCGTCGTCGTCTTCGTCGTCATCAGTAAGGCAGGACGGGGGAGGCAAGCAGAAGGTCGCACGACTAACACGCAGGCAGCAGGCCAGCAGCAAACTGTTGCGGGCCAGATGTGCATCCAAATCCATTACATCTTTGAGTGTCGGGCTCCCTTTCCCAGACATCCGAGGCGCAGTGGACATGGATCCAGATCTGGCAACAAGGGATTAATGAGAGCAGGAGCAGTGAGCCCGCACATGATCTGAGGCCAATGAGCAGAGTAGCGCTCTGCTAATCAGAGCCCGAGCAGGCTGGGGAATCCTGCTGCAGGGCCAATTAGCAAAGCAGCGCTCTGCGAACGAGGGGACAAGAAGCGAGTGCGCATGCTTTGAGGCAAATTGGCAGAGCGCCGCTCTGCTAATTGGAGCCCGAACAGTCTGGAAATGCATGGTCGGGGCTTCTTAATTCGAATCCAGGGTTCGGGACAAAGAACACATGCGAGCCTGGGGGTTACTCCACTTCGTGCCTCGAGGCACGGTGACGAATTTCAGCCCTCCTGAGTCGCCACCTGGTCCGCTCGCTCGGTCGGCGTTCAAAAGTGGGTGGGAGGGGCGTTGCCGAGGGATTTGTCTTCGCAGTGGGCGCGGACCCAGGCCGTGACGTTGGCAAGAGCGGATGGGTAGGATGCACGCGTGCGGATGAGCTCAAGGTAGGCCTTCGTCGATCATCTGATGGTTATCTCTCTTCTGCCTCCTCTGCTCCTGCCTTCTCTCGCCTGCACTGTCTGCCACTGTTCCCCAAAGAGTGCTTGCACTTAGGGGTTCTTACCTGTGTTACCTAAAGAACTGGATGGGTGCTCCTCAGGGGTTTCGCCTGGTCTCCGGTTGCTTAGCGCTCGTGGACGCCTCGTGTTGGGTGGGGGGGCCGCGTCCTTGACTGCCCGTGGGCGCTTCGTGCGCTGGGTGGGTGTGGCGAGGTTTCACGTGGTGCCCACCCATCGGCGCTTCGTGGGAGCCTGCGTTAGGTGGGTATGCTCCCGTTGGCGCCTCGTGGGCGCCTCGTGCGTTGAGTGAGTGTGCCGAGTTTTCGCCTGGTCTCCCCAAGGGCGTCTTGTGAGCGCCTCTTGTGTGTTTGGCGGCCGCATCGTTTGTACCTCCTAGGTTTTAGCACAGCTTGCATCCCATAGCTGACACCACACGAAGTAGCTTACACCACACAGCTTGCACCACACAGCTCGAACAACACATAGTAAACCACATATATTGCACCGCACCGATTACACCATATAGCTTTGACCACGTAGCGTGTGCCGCAAATGCTGTCTCGTAAACATACAAGTCGGATCCCCCCTTCCCGAGCTTGGACATATCGAGCCCCCCAGGACATTGCAATCTTCCAAATGAAATGCCATGACAGGCCAATTGGCTCTTATCACCCCCTCTCATCCTTGCCAGACAGTACTATGCGCGCACATCCGTTTACATCAAAATAATGTGACAAGAGTCCCTTGCACAACAAATGTCACAACGTTGAAAGTGGTGCGCACATGTCGAAAGCATACCAACACACATTAGTGTTGCCATCATTTCTACGCAGAAAGAACGGCAAGACCCCCTGGCCGTCTAAGCACAACTCGTGAAGTTCTTTTGCCCGCGCGCACTTTCTGAAATCATCGGAACTTGATTCGAGGGAAGCAGTCTGGTCCAAAACCCGGATTCTCACCTCACCACGCGATGTATCTGCGTTAATCTAGCATGCCCTTTTGTGCACATATTTGTGGGCCACGCGTTCGCCGCCAGGCGCGTGTGTCGAAATCAGCTCGACGCCATTGGCTGTTGAAGCATTTCAAGATAGAGCTCTTCAACCACAGATGAAAGATCCAGTGATGCTCTAGAAGAAGTCTGCCGGATTTCTTCAACTTCTGCGCGCGCGCACTTCCTCACTATCACCCTCATCAGAGCCATCACATCACCGCCGTCAGCGTCATCGCCAATGGCCGCCGTTGCCACAATCATCATCATCACCATCATAATCAGCATCATCATCACCATCCTCATCATCACAATCACGATCACCTTCATCACCTGCTCATGGGTGTCATCATCGCCATCGTCGTCACCATCGTCGGTGCCGTCATTAGCCTTGCCATCGTCATCGTCATCATCGTTACCACCATCGCTGTTATCATCATCGTTGCCGCCGATGTCGACGTCCGCATTTTACCGCGCCCGTTCGGGTCAGTGACCCGCACTGAAGTGTTCACAAAAGTCAGTGCGGCCTTTGTGACGCGCTGGAAACTCCCATCCGTAAGTGCCATCGCGGCCGCATCAGCTGTGCCAAACCAGCTGGTCGCCCTGCGCGCGAGGGTTCGCGCGCCAGCGCGGCCGCGCAGACTCGCTTGCAATTGCCAATCGGCAGCCGCAGTCGTGGCCGCTTGCGTTTTGCCAATCGGGTCCTGGGCGGGAGGGTTGGATGGTTGCGCGAGCCCTGGAGCTGGCAATGCACAAGCGTACAGAAGCTCATTGCACGCAGCTTGCACCGTGCGGCTTGCACCGCAGAGCTGGCGCCACACGTGCTGCACCACGCAGTTTTCACACGGCTTGCACCTCAGAGCTCACACATCCGCAGTGCAGTCGCGTAGCGTTCGGGGCCCACGCCGGGAAGATTTTTTCTTTGCTGTGTTCAGTGGTCTGCGGCCCGTCCCACCACCGTGCCTGGGTCATGGGCGAATTGCCTCTGAGATGTTTCCTTGCATTTTGGGGGGGGGCTCCGGGGGGCATCGTTGTTGCATTGTGAATGTTTTGGGGGGGTCCGGCATGTATCTCTGGCATCCCGTTTCCTGTTGGTGCGAAAAAGGCTTCGCCGTTGCCCGCATCATACCACGAACTTGCGAGCTTGGACACCCTCGTGGAGCAGACTTGCTAACATTGTACCTTGTCCCTAAAATGGTGTTGAATGATTTCTGTTTGGTTGGGTCTAATCGGACCGCTCGCAGGAGCCTCTGGGGGCAAGTTTTGGGCCTCTTGGGGCCTCTCGGGAGCTTCTTGGGGTCTTCTTGGGGCCTCCTGGGGGTATCGTGGGGGCGTCTTGGACGCCTCTTGGGGCCTCCTGGGGTGTCTGGAAACCGAGTGCTCGACATGTCCCTTCGGGCCCCCCCGTCTGGGTTTCCTCGTGGAGTCGTCTTGGAGGCGCTTGGCCCGTCTTGGAGACTTCTCGAGCAGTTTTGAAGCCCTTGTGGGCAGTTATGGGGCCCTTTGGAGACCTCTTGGGGCGGTCTTGAACGCCTCCTGGGCCGTCTTGGTGCGTGGGGAAGCTGAAAATGGCTAGAGCGCCCAAGCCTATCAAGTATTCTGACAGTAGGACCCCGCATGAAAATATGTTTAGCTTGCCCCTCGAGTTGTTATTGTCGCTTTGGCGGAGGGCCTCCTATCGGCCTATGTTTCGCCTGCCCCTCCTCCTCGTCATCTTCGCCCTCCGTCTCCTCGTCCTTTTTGTCTCCCTTGCTCCTCCTCCTCCTCCTCCTTCTCCTCGTCCCTATTTTCCTCTTTGTCGTCGTCCTCCTCCTCCTCTTCCTTTCTCTCCTCCTCCTCCTCCTTCTCTTCCTCCTCCTCCTCCTCCTCGTAATCCTCCTCCTCCTCCTCCTCCTCCTCCTCCTCCTCCTCCTCCTCCTCCTCCTCCTCCTCCACGCAACCCTCATGTTCCCTCATATCCTCCCCCCGCCTGTTCTCCGCATGCACCTCCGCTGCCTCGTGGCTGCGGCAAATCGATATTCCTCGGCGCCGTCGCCGCCACCCACGGCCGGCACGGGCGCGTTCTCCGACGGCCGGCCGGGTCGCGAAGCCGTCAGGACAACCTTTCGAGCCAGCACGTGGGGATAATCCCGCGAGCCGCTGGGGCGCGAGAGCATGCCGTTGGGACAAACCCGCAGGCACAGAGCTAGTCGCGGCCGCGCTCAGGCGGGAGGTAGCACGAAGTCCAGCTCTGCCGCGAGCTGCTCCGCCTCAGCCTTGGGGTCCACCGCTGTCCTGTCGAACTCCTCGGGCGTTTTCCGCACGGACGCCGGCGGCCCGCGCTCCAGGACTTCTCGCGCGGGCGGCCGCAAAATCAGCATGTTCCGCATGCGCGTTGCGCGGGAGAACATGACGTAGAGGTTCGGCCACCATGCCTCGTCCGACATGCCCGTGCGACCAGCTTTCTCATCGATAAAAACCTTTGCGCAGCGTCTGGCCCTGCGACAGTGTGGAGGTCAGGCAGGACGAGTGCGTCAGGGTGAGCCCCGAGCGGCGCGTGACGTGCGGCCCCGAGCTCTGCCACGTGAGCTCCTGCTCGTTGGGCCTGAACATGAGCAAGCTCCTCGCCCGCGCCTCGGCTTCGCCGTCGTCGTCAGCGCAGTCGGCGCCCTGCTAGCACTTCGGCGACCTCCCTGTAGATCGGGGGGTCCTTGCAGCCGCGGACCTGCATCCAGATTCCTCGCGGTGGGCGGTAGGTAGCCGGGGCGAAAGAGCTGGCCTGGCTTGCACTCCTCGTGATCCCGCTCGTCGTCTGGGTGAAATTCGAAGGACACGATTGTAGCCCGTTGTTCCTGCACGAATTCCATTATTTTGTTCCCCTCATCCTGCGCTGTCGTGAACCGGACCTCCATGCCAACGTGTGCCGGTAAGACGCCGTGGATGTTCCCTGTTTAGTGCATGTTCGGCCGTTCAGGAGGCACCAGCCCGCGTCTGGATCGCGTTGAATCGCGCCGCGCTCGTTTACGGCCTGCAGGAAAACGAGGGGGGCGCCGAGGCGCCGTGCGTCGCGACGAGCGCGCGTGTTGATTCACCTCACCAGCGTCTCCCAGTAGATCGATGCCGATGCTGTAACCGAACCGAACAATCCCGTGAAGGTGCCAAGGGTCCAGGACGGTGGTTGTCCGAAGCCAACGTTTCCGACGACCCGTCATATTCGAATATGAACAAGAGCCTCATCTTCGAATCGACCTGCTCATATTCGAATATGAACAAAAGCCTCATGAGGAGGGGTCTCCCGTTTGAGACTCCCTCGCAATTCTTACAGACGGTACTCCCGCATGAGACTTTCTCCGTACTCAGGCTTGACGAGCCCAAACAACGACAGATACAGGTTTGAGGACGGCCCGCGTCATATTCAAAGATAGTATAAATTGCGGGCCCAATGAGGAGGGGGTTCCCGCTTGACATTTCCTCGCAATTCACTCACAGACGAAGCTCCCGCCTGAGACCTCTTCCATATTCAGGTTTGAGGAGCCCAAACGTGACGACAGTCACAGGTTTCGGGATGACCCGCGTCGGATTCGAACATAAAGTGCGGGCCCCATCATGAAGGGGTTCCTGCTGATACTTTTTCCCAGTCCACTGACACATGAAGTTTTCGCCTGAGACGTCTTCCAGATCCAGGCTTGAGAGGAGCCCGACAGCGACAACAGTTACAAGTTTTGGGATGACCCGCCCCGGATTGCCAACATGGGAGGAAATTCCCGCGTGAGACTTCCGTGCAATTCGCTCACAGACGAGGTTCCCGCTTCAGACTTCCTCCATATCCAAGCCTGAGGAGGCCAAAAGTGACGACGGTTATTGGATTTTGGATAGCCCGCGTCGGATTCGAACATGAAGCGCGGGACCCATAGGGAGGGGCCTCCCGCTTGAGATCCCCTCGCAAGTCACTCACAGACAGTGCTCCCGCCTGCGACTTCCTCCGTATTCAAGCCTGAGGAGCTCAAGAGGACGACAGTTCCAAGTTTTTTGGATGGCCCGCTCCAGATTCGAACATGAAGTGCGGACCCCATAGGGGCGGGGCTCCCGCCTGAGCACTCCCCGCGATTCACTCAAAGACGAGACTCCCACATGAGATTACTTCCATCTTCAAACTAGGGAGTGGGTGATGACGAAGTGATGAGTAAGTGAGTGATGATGATGAGTGTGTGAGTGATGATGAGTGAATGAATAATGATGATGATTATGATGATGATGATGATGATGATGATGATGATGATGATGATGATGATGATGAGTGATCGAGTGATCGAGTGATCGAGTGATGATGAGGGTGATGGTGATGAGGATTGAGATAATGAGTGATGGCGATGCTGATGATGATGGGGATGGTCGATGGTGGTGATGTTGAGACTGGTTAAATGCGTGAGTAAAGCGGGGAAGGGGATGGGGGGGAGGTTCCTGAGCGATGTGTCAAGAGAACAAAAACCCCATTTCGAATGCCTGGAAAACAAACGTATATTCAATATTTCCATTTGGTACCCTCTTGGGAGGCCTCGTGGATTCCTCTTGGGGCGTGTTGGGGGTCTTGCCCTCTTTGACCGTCTTGGGGGCCTCTTGAAGTCTTCTTGGCCCGTCCTTGGAGCAGGAGGAGGAGGAGGAGCAGGAGGAGGAGGAGGAAGCCGAGGTGGAGGAGGTGGGGGCGGAGAAGGAGGACGACGTGAAAAAGAAGAAGAAAGGATATACGGTATAATGTGTTCGACACAGTGAAGCACTGCGTTACTTGGGTATATGGCACATGACACGCACACGTACGACAAGTATGGGGGATCCTGGAATTTGTGTCTATTTTCAGAGCCATTGCTTGCACTGAAGGTGTCACAGCGGAGATTGAAACATTTGGCGAGCGTGCCCGGCCGATTCCGGTAGGCGGCTGGGTTCTGTGTTCCCTGCTCTGCGTTCCCCGGTTAACGGTTGTTGGTTCCAGGCCGATTTCGGTGGGCGGCGGGGTTCCCGGGTTTTTGGGTTCCTTGTCGGTCTCTTTATTGATCGGTCTCACCATCGATGTCATTGCCCACCTCTCTATCGGTCTCACGATGGATCTCACAATCGACCTCCCTCTCGATCTCACAGTCGATCTCACTATAAATCCCACGACACGATCGATCTCACGATCGATCGCGTTGAATCGGCTTCACTATCGGTCTTTCGATCGACCTTGCAATCGCCCTCACAATCGATCCCACCATCGATCTCACAGTCGATCTAACTTTCAAATCATCAACTGCTTGGGGTTTTCTCTGGGGTAGTGTAGTTGCGCCTCCCTGGGCCCCCGTCCTAGAGCCCGAAGCCGACGCTCGCAGCCCGAAGCCAGAGCCCAGCCCCCGAGTCCGAGCCGCTCCTCTTCTACGGCGGCAGCTTCGTGTCGTGCCGATCGGCGGCGACCCCGCCGCTGGCGTTCAGTGCTGAGCGCCTCCAGCGACCCTGAATCTGCACGATCTCACACTCTGGACGTGGAACATGGTTCAAGGCTAAGCGATCCCCGCGGTGTCAGGAACCAGCGCAGGGGTCGGCAGGACACGAGCTCGCCGTATAACAGGACGGGAAGAAAGCCACAGACACGTCCAATTGCCGATGCCGATGAAGATGTGGGAGAACCTGGGAAGTGGCAGGGGAGCACGACAAAAGCAACACACTCATGTCAACCTTGAGGGAATCCTGGGACTCGTGCCCGTGTCTTTGCGCGGCCCTCGGCCCCTCCAGTCTTTACCCCCTCCCCCGCCCACTCCCCGCGCGCTGCGCCGTGCCCCAGGGGGGCGGCTCCCAAGGGGCGCGCCCCGGCCGCCGGTGGCACCCGCCCCCGCCCCCCGCCCGCCCCGGCCCCGCCGGGGGAGCGACAGAGCTGCGCACCCCGCCCACCGCCCCCCCCCGCCGGGAGCAGCCGAGTGATGGGCCTGCTGTCCACCACCGCCAGCAGAAGTTGGAGGGGGATAGGGGGTCCTCCTCCCTCCTCCTCCACCTCCTCCTCCACCTCCTCCTCCTCCTCCACCTCCTCCTCCACCTCCTCCTCGTCGTCCTCCTCCTTCCCCCCATCCAACTTATGGTGGTGGTGGTGGTGGAAGACAGGCCCATGACCAAGAGGGTACCGCTACCCTTGCCTCGTGTTCCCCTGTTTGGGCCTCTGTCACCACCGCTGGATTCACCCTGACAGAAGCCCTGGTCCGAACGCACCCTGGCAGAGGTCCGGGGAGTGATTTTGGCGGTCTCGGTGACGTTTGGTTCCTTCCGAAGTGGGTGACGACCAGGGGGGGATTGGAGATCATGGCTCAGGAGGGAAAGAAACACACAGACACAATTAATCGTCGATTCCCAGGAAAATATGGGAAAATATGGGAAGTGGGGGGGAAGACAGAAACCCAGAAAATATAGGAAAATATTGGGAATATTTTTATTTGTGTGTATTTATTTGTGTGTCCTGGGGCCCCTTCAGGGATTGGAGATCCTGGCGGGGGCTCTGTGGACGCCCCCCCCTCTTGGACGCCCCCCGGCCGCGAGGTCGGGGCGCGGCGCCGTCTGCACTCCGGGCGTCCGCGCCCGGCCGCGGGCCCCGGGGCCGTCACAGCTCGGTCTGCGGCTCGGGAGGGGCCGCAGACAATCAACGCGCGAATTACCTTCAAACGGCGCGAGGATCGGGACAAAATCGGATCGGGATAACTCGAAGTCTCTGAGAATCGGCGGGTTTGGAGGATGTATCGGGCGCCGCGGCCGCTCCAGAGCGTTCCGGAACGCTCTGAGAGCGCTCCGGAACGCTCTGGAGCGATTTATCCCGATCCTAGCCCTGTTTTATACCTACCCCGCTGTCGCTTCCAGGCAAAACCGAGTCATGCCACGCGCCTCCTCGTCGAGCGGCCTGACCAGTACAGGCCGCAGTTTGGCCTTTGTCTTGGCATCTCTCGGAAGAGCGAGGGCGGTCACAAGCGAGGTCTGTCGCGCTGTGGCAGTGTTCGTGCGGCGTCGGCTCTCAGGGCCCTCCTCCTCCTCCTCCTCCTCCTCCTCCTCCTCCCGCAGGCCCCCCCCCCCCCAATGCCAAGCGGGCCGGACCGAGAGGAAAGGGTGGTCATGTTGGACAAGGGGGGGATACGAAGACTGCTGCGTGCAGCCAATCTCGGGCGGGGGGCGCCGGAGAACATGGGTTCTCTACCCCTTGGGCACCGCGTAATGGGGGGGTCATAAATGGGGGGGTGGCGAGGGTGGTTCGAAAAGGTACCCAAACGGTACCTAAACGAGCCCCCTGGGGCTCTGGAGGGGCTCGAAAGCGGCACGAAAGGGGACCTTTTCTGACCCCCCCCATTTTTGACCCCCCCATTAAGCCACGCCCAACCCCCCCCCAAAAAAAAAACAACGTCCGACCCAAGATGTACATGCTTCCCCCTGAGGATCAGGGAAGGAGGAGGAGGAGGAGGAAGGGGAGGAAGAGGAGAGGGGGCGGTGGGGCTGCACACTTTTTTGCACCCCGTCGCGCCAAGTCTCGGGGGGGCGCCGGCAGACCCGCGCACCGATCCTGCTGTGTTGGCGGGGGAGCTGTGCATCCGCCTTTCCAGCCAAGCTTGGGGGCGGGAGAGCTTGGAGGGCAAAGTCCACCTGCTTCTAGAAGACGTTGACGACCAATACCTCGGGCCTAGGCCACATGCCGTTCTCACTTTCTAGCCGCAAGCGTCTACAGCCACACGGGGTGTCGCTACATCGACACATTCGGTTGGACGCATCTATAAACAATGCGGCCGTTGCGTTCGGATCGGCGCAAGGTCGGAGAAGGGGTAGATCCGTCGACGGCACATTCTTGCTCTGGAGCTCCAGAGCAGGCCCCACATGTTACGACCCCTTGCCTGGGGGCCGCCTACCTCGTCCTGGGCCCATCTCTGATGACCCCCGGGCCCAAGGGCGGCCGCCTCCAGGGGGCCCGAGCTCGAGGGACCACGCCGAGGTCTTCGGATGTCTTCAGAGGGCAGAGGGGGGTGACGACAAGGGGGGGTGGTGGGGGTCATGACATCTCCCCCGATGTCATTGCGCCGTTTCCTATGTCAATGCGTCCCTGCCCCCCCCTGGGCTGCGCACCCGCATGCCGCCGGTCATGCTCTGCGTCCCTCCCTCTGCCCCCCCGACAGTGGTCCCAAAGTTCTGGTGCAATATCCCTGAAGCGTCCTTACAAGGACCTCCAGGGCGCAGATTGTCTTTGTTATCCTCTGGCTCGTAACAGTCGTCACCTGGCCCCCCCCCCCCTCCTCCCCCACAGGTAGCAGTAATTGTCGTGCGCAGGGAGGAGGGGGGGGGAGCCTTGCCCCCCACCCACCCCGCACTCGCTGGTGCTCGCGCGCATACTGTGGGGCGATCGCAGCGCACCCCCCGCCTCGATGTGTTCCACACCGCCTGGGGCCTCACTTCCCCCTCTCTCCCACCCCGGGCAACGACCGCCGCCCGAATTTCATAAAGGACAGTCTCGAGTTGCCTGCTTCAGGAGCGACACAAGAACGTACACATACATGAATCCACGCTGGTTTCGAGAGTACGCATTGCGCAAATGTACGTATGACGCGACCGATCTCGCGGATCGAGGGGCCGTGTTCATGCACATAGCTGGGCGCGTACGTCCTTTGTGGGCTCCCTACTACTAGAGGTCAGAGAGGATCGCCGACGAAAGTCGGCCGTGCGCGGGGTGGTCGGCGCCCTCCCCGTCGGGGCTGCATGTCAGGGCCGATGTGGCCCCTCATCCTGGGCGGCCTGGGCCTCGGGGCGCTGGCGGCGCGGCAGGGCATGCGGGCGCCGAGGGGGGGAGGGGCCCTGTGGCGAGGGGGGCCCGTCGCGCGGCGAGGGGAGGGAAGTTTTGGGCAGCGAGCCACGGAAGCTTCCGCTCGTCTTTGGTTCCCTACCTAGGCTCTGCCTAGAAGGGTTCTTATTCGGTATGCTTAAATGGCCGGGCAGTGCAACTCGCCCCGGGCGGTTCCCCCAGTATCCGCCCCGCGGTTCCCCCCAGTGACGTTCCCTTAGCTTAGCGTTGCTTATATCATTTTAGCTTAGCTTATCTCATCTTAGCTTAGATTCATCTTAGCTTAACTTAGCTTCATATAGATGTTGCTTTCCTAGATCCTCCAACTCCTAGGTAGGGTCGCACTGGGATAATTTATGTTTTTTCGGCGAAAGCGGCCAGTAGCTTGGAAGAGCGCTCACGCAGCGACCAACGACGCCCAACAGCGCCCAACGGTGCCATGTGAGGGATGTGCATCCTGTCCGCTTTGCGTGCAATGGGGCTTGGGCGCCACGGGGGCGACCAACCGTTTCCGCGAGTTGCTTTCCAAGTCGGCGGAGAAATTCAGAGTCCGAGGTGCTCGCACGTTTTTGTCGGCTCCTGGAGGTTGTCCAGCCTCGGCCGAGGCGGTCCCGGGGTGCCCCCGGCCCCCCGACCGTCCCGAACGGCCGCCTGAGACGCGAGTCATGGCCCGATTGCCGAGCGGGGCGGGGCGGGGAGGAGGGGGAGAAGCAGGGGGAGGAGGGGTGGCTGGGGGGTAGGGGAAGCGAGGAGGCCAGTTTGTTTTGTGTTTAGGAAGATTGTTGTTCCTCTAAGTCATTGTTTTGATGATCAGTTCCCAGGTGTTGACGGAGGAGATCTCGGTCTCGCATTGTGCGGCCCTCGGTGCGGTGATTGAGACGGCTTTGTCTCGCAACGTTCTCGCAATTGCTGGGAGAAGGTTACGGCATTGCAGTGTACGGTACCCCAGGTGTTGACTAATAAGAACTTTGGTTGGCAATGTTCGATCCCTGCTTCTGTGAGAGATTGGAGGAGTTCGGCGACCACGACGTAGAGGTGTGGACGAGGAACCCTGCCTTCTTGCTCCGTCACTGTGCACGTGATGGGTTGCCTGTAGATGCGTGTGCGAAGCGCGTCCGCAGCTGGGCCTCTGTCATTCACCGAGCGCGTTTCACTACTCGCAAAGTGCCTACTCGCAAACGTCCGAAAAAACAAACGTCTGCCTCGATGTAATTGATCGTGGATCCTCCACGGGGGATCCAGGCCATTTGCGAGCAGTTACGTTGCGGGTAGTGGAAGGCGCGTGCCCAGTCCTGGAAGCGGGTGTGGACAGCTCTGGGAGTCGCGACGCACACCACCTCCCCCACCTCCCTACCCGCGTCCCCAGCGCCCCAGTGGGGGCTCCGCCCCGTGCCCCCTCCGCCCCGACAATTTTATACCGCGTCGCGACGCACACCACCTCCCCCCTCCCCCCCCGTCCCCAGCGCCCCAGTTGAACCTCCGCCCCGTGGCCCTCTGCCCCAAGCCCCGCCCAGTGCCCCCTCCGCCCCGACCATTTTATTCCACGTCGCGACGCACACCACCTCCCCCTCCTCTCCGCGCCCCCAGCGCCCCAGTGGGACCTCCGCCCCGTGCCCCCTCCGCTCCGAGCACTTTATTCCGCGTCGCGACGCACACCACCTCCCCTCCCCCTCCCCACCTGGGATTTGGGCCCCGTTGCTGGGCCCCGAGGGGCGATGTCTTGCCCCCTCTTCCCCCCTCCACCTCCTCCTACCCCTTCCTTGTGTGCAAGAGCCATGGCACACGTGTCACTTGTATAATTTTCTCGACCGCTCGCCCGAGCTCCCTTTGCCGCGGCCCCTACTGGCAGCAATTGCTCGCTCCTGCTCCTCCGGTCCTGGGCGGCACAGGCAGCGCAGAGGTCTGGCCTGAAGGCGCCCGAGGTGAGCATGCCGAAGTTCGGTGGCTTCAGTTTTGCCAGGCACGCCTGCTCTCTCTCGAAGAAGAAACAACATAAACGCAAACTTTCCGAGCGGATTTCTTGGATCGGTGTTGGTCCCACTTCCCTGGCGCGAGGAGCGTGCCAGGGGCGGCGCCACAGGCGCCGCCAAAAAACCCAGCACAGATCCCAGAAAATCGCGCGGAGCTCCGAAAGCTTATGGTTATGTTGTTTTGTATTCCTCTGATGTCCCTCTTGTAAGGCTGGGTCGCCTGTACACGCCTGTTGTTGGGCTTCATGCTGTCGCCTGAGTCGTCACCCTGGGCATCCTTGCATCCTGTAACCCTCTACCCTCTCACCCCGAGCCATCTGCTCAAGCCCGTGGAGGGGTTTGATACACAACGATTCGCGTCAATATGGGCCTTCTTGGGGCTACCTGGGTGTCTTCTGGGGCCCTCGCGGGCCTTACAGGTCTTCCTCGGGCTTTGAACGGCTCCGTGGGGCAAGTGTGTCCTGCATGGGCACCATCATGAATAATAGGCCAGCCTGCGCGTAGAGGTACGCGCTGCGCGCAGGTGCCTGATCGGGGTGAACGTTGGGGTCTCTGTTCCTCCAGGGAGGGCAGTGCTGAGGATGGGCGCCCGATTGCGCTTTTTTTCGCTCCTACAAAGTGAGCGACGTGACTCGGCGTGTGCCTCTGCAGTCGGATCTCGAGCTGTCGCGCGGTGCGTAACGGCGGTGTGTCAGGATGGGGTCCGCTCACATCGCCGATTCTGTGCATCATTACGATCGAACGTTTGACTGTTCAATTGGCGATAGGTTGACTGAGGCAATCGGAAGGTGTCTTTGGAGTGGGAATGGAGAGCACAAAGAGAAATCTGAGGTGGAGGAAGACATTCATGAGAAACACGAGCAGGTGAGGTGAGGGGAGTGAGGGACAGTGAAAGCATGACATCCCGAACGAAAGAGAAGAGGGGGGGAGGAATCACATAATTACCGGCACGAGGAGCACACCCCTGGGGGGAACTGGCACGCCGATGTCCCAACATGCCAGTGTTGAAGGGGTTGGCCGCGTTGGCCTCGACGTGTGCGTGCCTGTGCGTCGTGTTGTGTTGCGCTGCGGTGTGCTGTGCTGTGTTGTGCTCTGCTGTGCTGTGCGGTGCCGTGTTGTGTAATGTTGTGTTGTGTTGTGTTGTGTGTGCTTGCGCGTAATGTGTGTGTGCTTGCGCGTAATGTGGGGTGGGGGGTGTTCGGGGAAGGGGGATGGGGTGTAGGGGGGGGCGGAATGGGGTGAAAGGGAGCGGGGGTGGGGGCTGTGGACGGGTGGAGGGGTCGGGGTGAGGGGACGTCGGGGGGGATGAGGGGGTTGGGGCGGGGAGGGGATGGTGGGAGAAGGGTGGGCGGGTAGGGTGTTTTGGAAGTTGGGGGGTGGGGTGTAGAGGGTGGAAGGGGAAGGGGGGCGCGGAGTGGGTGGAGGTGGGTGGGTGGGTGGGTGGTGGGTGGGTGGGTGGGTGGGTTGGGTTGGGTTGGGTTGGGTTGGGCGTGCGTGCGTGCGTGCGTGTGTGTGTGTGTGTTGTGTGTGTGTGTGTGCATGCGTGCGTGGGGCGTGGGGGGGGCGTGTATGGCGCGGGGTGGGAGGGGGGGCGTGCGTGGGAAGGGGAGCGTGCGTGCGTGCGTGCGGGGGGGGGGGGGCGTGGGTGGGTGTGTGGTTGGGTATGGGTGAGTGTGGGTTTGTGTGTGTGGGTGGGTGGGTGGGTATGGGTGTGCGAGTGGGAATGCGCGTGGGTGTGTGTGTGTGTTGTTTTTCCTGTTTTGTGTGTGTGAGTGTGTGTGTGTGTGCGTGCGTGCGTGTGTGTGTGTGTGCGTGTGTGTGTGTGTGTGTGTGTGTGGGTGTGTGTGGGGGGGGGGGCGTGTGGGTGTGCGTGTGCGTGTGCGTATGTGTGGTTGTGTGTGGCTGTGCGTGTGGCTGTGTGTGGTTGTGTGTGGTTGTGTGTGGTTGTGTGTGGTTGTGTGTGTGTGCTGTTGTGTGTGTGGCGTGTGCGTGTGTCTGTGTGTGTGTGTGTCTGTGTGTGGTTGTGCGTGTGTTGTTGTGTGTGTTGTTGTGTGTGAGGCGTGTGCGTGTGTATGTGTGTGTCTGTGTGTGGTTGTGTGTCTGCACGTGTGCGTGTGCGTCTGTGTGTGCGTCTGTGCGTCTGCGTGTGTCTGTGTGTGTGTGTGTTTGTGGTGTGTGTGTGTGTGGCCGGATCTTTGGGCCTGTTTTGTGAGTATGGTGATTTGTTGCCCCTTGGTGCTCTCATGGGGCTTTCCTGGGGACTTGTGGAGCCATCTAGACGGCGCGTCTGTGTCTCGGGGTCGTGTTTGAGGGTCTTGGGGCCCCTTGAGTTTTTGGGCGGTCTTAAGGGATCTTTTTCGAGCAGCCAGGTGCCCATGGGCCAACTGGGGCAATTCTTGGCATGGTTGGATGCCCAGGGCCATCTAGAGGCTCCTAAGACCTTGGAAGCGTTTGGACGCGATTAGCCGTGACAGCACCGTAGTTTGGTGAAGGACCCAACCATATGCAGCTGTGAGTTCTGCAAGACAGGTGGAAACTGAGGGAGGGGGCAAAGACGGAGCGACGTTGCTGATGGTGTCGCAGAGGTCGGCCGTGACGGGCTCTGTGATTCCAGGCTCCAGGCCCACGCCCCCCCCGCCCCCCCCCCCAACGGGATGGGTCTCAGGATCCTGCGGGCGCACCCCCCCCAGGTGGGATGGGGGGGGGAACGACGACGATGACGACGAAGATACCGTCCGCTCCTCCTCCTCCTCCTCCTCCGCCTCCTCCTCCTCCTCCTCTTCCTCATCCTCCTCCGCCTCCTCCTTATCCTCCTCTTCCTCTTCCTCCTCCATGTTCTCCTGCTCCTCCTCTTCCTCCTCCTCCTCCTCCTCCGCCTCCTTCTCCTCCGACTTAGGCGAGCCTGACCACGGCCACCACCAACACCACCCACCACCCACACCCACCGGGGAGGGGGGGAGGGCGGGACCCCATACTCACCACCGCATGCCCACAGGGGAAGACTCCACCACACCACGCCCACAGGGCAGGGGGGGGGCCATCGCGCGAGGGGGGGGGGGGCGATGGCATCAGCATTAGGGAAGGGTGGGACCCAGACGCTGGACCATTCCAGATATATGGGGCCACGAAGCATGTGATGGGAGTGCCGAAGTAAGCGCGATCACGAGTGCGATTCCTGCCATTGGTGCCTTCGGTGGAGCTCCCCATGAGGCCACGAAGCATGTGATGGGTGTGCCGAACAGGCCGCGGGCACGTATGCGATTCCTGCCACTGAGGCCTTCCGTGGGGCTCAGTATGGGGCCATGGAGCGATAGAATGGTGCGCCGAAGTGGGCGCGATCACGCATGCGATTCCTGCCGCCGGGGCCTTCGGTGGAGCTCCCTGCGGGGCCACGCGACGCTTGAGGAGCGCGCCGAAAATCGGCGCGGTCGTGCGTGTGATGCCGGCCTTCGGTGGAGCTCCCCGTGGGGCCACGGGGCGCGTGAGGGGTGCGCCGAAGTGAGCGGAGGTCGCGCGCGCGCGATGCCTGACCGCCTGGGGGCCCGCCGTGGCGGCGCCCGCCGGCCCTCCGCAGGGGCTCCGCGAACCAGGGCTTCGAGTCCCCGATGACCCGCGCGGAGGCGAAGCAGATCCTGAACTGCTCGGGGATGAACCCCACCAAGGACGCTGCGGGGGGAGCGAAGAATGACCTTCTGGACGCCCGAAATGGGCACTGAAGGAATGGGTACTATGCCCAACTGCAGTTCCTCTTCATTTTGAACCGGATTTGCTGTCCACGCCGCCGCGGCCTGTGCCCATTTGAGACAGAGGGCCGCCTGCCCAACAGCGGCCGCTGTTGGTTTGGGACAACATTCGCTGTTGGGCATTGTTCCCATTTGTTCGGTACCCATTTCGGGCGTCCAAAGACCTAAACATAGAAACTCTGAGTTTCGCGCGGATGTGTCGGATCGGCGCTGGGTCCCCCTGGCGGCGCATCCGGCGCCGCCCCTGGCGCGCTCCGCGCGCCAGGGAGAGGGGTCCAGCGCGGATCCAAGAAATCCGCGCGGACCTCAGAGTTTTTGCAGTCGGGGCCCTGAAGAAGGAACCCTTTTCGTGGGGAAGGGGCTCCGCGTTCCTTCAGTGTTTCGCAGCTTGCCTTAGATTTTCCTTATGTTTTCGATCGGAAATCGAAGCTTAACTCATGGAAAAAAGGGGCCTCGTTCCTTATTTTGGGTTCCTTCGGTCAAGGCCCCGACTGTAGTTGCGGCGGCACCGCCCCAGACCCCCTCTTGTCCCGGAGAGCTCGCGACGGCCGGCTGTTTACTGCTTTCGGCCTCATGGGGGCCCGCCCCGGGCTGGGCACCGTCAGAGAACGACTCGAAGCGCTATGAAAAACCGGGGTTGGGGAATGGGTCGAGACTTCTGTGGGTCGACGTCGTGGAAAGACACGACGTCGGGGGGGGTTCAACCCGGGCGTGGTGTTTCTTGGAGTTCGGCCTCCCGGTCCCGTTGTCGGCGGGCCCCAGGGCCATCGAAAGTGGATCTGGTGCACAACTGGCCCCAGGGAAGGGATTAGGAGTTGCAATCTTGTTCACACATGGCGTGTTCGCTCGGCTTCGGGCCCCAGGGACCATCAGAGCTCGATCTAGCTCGAAAAATAAAAACAGAAGGATGGGGTCCAGGGCTCTGGTCGAGTGGTTCTGCGATCTTGCTTTTTTTCGCGACATCGGATCTCAGGGGCATGTGGGTACATGCTAACAGCCAGCCCGTTCAGAAGCACTGCCCCTCAGAGCTGACGGGGAAAGGGACGAAGGGACACATATAGTGAAACAAAGCTGGCAACCAGGATGAACAGAGAGATCTCTGGGAGCAAGGAGGTGGCTTCGGAGGGCCTCTGCGGACCATCCCTGAAGCTCGCAGGAGGGGGGCGAGGGGATGATGATGATGATGATTATGATGATGATGATGATGATGATGATGATGATGATGATGATGATGATGATGATGATGATGATGATGATGATGATGAGGAGGAGGAGGAGGAGGAGGAGGAGGAGGAGGAGGCAACCCGCCTCTTGGGGCCCTCGTGGGGCGCTCTTGGGGCGCTCTTGGGCGCTTTTGAGGCCTGAAGGGGCTCCGAGAGTACGTGGAACCGTCTTGTGACCCTCGTCGGGCCTTATGGAGGTATGTCGGAGGCTATCTTGAGCCATCTTTGACTATATTGAGCCGCCTTGAAGGCCATGTTGGAGCATCGGAGGCCCTCTTGGAGCTATCTTGGGCCATCTTGGACGATCTCACCCCTCGCGAACCCCCATAAAACCTTTGGGAGGGGAGGAGGAGCTTCCTCCCCGAAAGGAGCAGGAGTTTTGCGTCTCCGGCGCAATCTCATCGCCTTCTCGGGCTCGCTTCGGGGGAGTACCACAGATTAGTGTGGCTCTCGCGGGGCCGTTTTGGGGGCGTACTGGGGCTACGGGGGGCTCTTCGACGAGTTGCGCGCGAGACGGCAATTGAGGCACATGCTCGTGTTTGGTGTTCTGGTTTTTGTTTGACCCTGCGTCGCTATGGTCCTCCACCCTCCATCCCACCCTTTGTGGTTCGCGTGCGGTTTGTCTTCGCACAGCGCACCGCGCTCCCAGGCCCTGGTCCGTTGTATGAGCTCGCCCATGGCAGATGATACCGGCTCGTGCGGCGTCCCAGGTTCGCTTGGCGGTCTTCCGTTTCCAGCAGCGCTGCTGGCCGTGCTTCTACAGGCTGGCGCCACAGCAGCCGACCCTTCAAGTCCTGCAAGTGAAGCCCGTTCGGGTGACCACTTTCGAGATGGTCTCTGCAATTGCGCTACACGTGTTGAATGCGTGGAAGGAGGACGTGGAGGAGATCAAGTGGCAGGGCGAGGATTATAAGAAGGAGAATGCGGAAAAGAGGAGGAGGAGGACGGGGGAGAGGGAAGAGCATGAGAAAGACGAGGAGAAGGCTTTGTGTGGGCTCCCACACCGTCAAATATCGAGTGGCCTTCGGCCCACCCCGCCACAACAACAGTCGGGCATTCTAACGCCCCCGTCCCGCGCAGGCGCGGTAGCGGATTTTCCGCATGGTCTCATCCCTCAGCTCTGCGAGCGATACAGGACTCGATGTTTGCGTGTTTCCGTTCGCTGCGCCACTTGGTTGCAGAGGCAAGCGTCGCGTGACGAAGCGTGCGTGGCATACTTAGCAGCACGTGGAATACTTCAAGTTTGGGTGGTTTTGAACACAATTGGCCGAATGTGCCGCTACAAGTGGTGTTTTTATTTGTGCGAGTAGAAGTTCTCAGGTTGTTTTCGGGATTTCGTTGGATTGATTCCCCTTGCGTTTTGGGGACTCCCAAGTATTTCCGATGATTCCCGAGGACCCTGCAGGCATCCCTCGGGTTCCTGGGATCTCCTCAGGGCTCCTCTGGGTCCCGCGGGGTTCTCAGGATTCTTGGATTCATTGGGGGTTCCTTGGGGTTTTCCGAGGAGGTCCTCAGGATTCCTTGGGATTCTTCCCGGATCTATAGGATTCTGTGGGGAGCCTTCATGATTCTACCAGATCCTTCTGGATTCACCAGGTTCTTCTGGATTCGTCAGGGTTCGCGGGGACCCCAAGATTCCTAAAGGTTTCTCTGGATTCTTTTAGAATCCTTACGACTCCTCGCGCTTACTCAGAATTCCTCCAGGGTCTTCAGGGTTCCTCAAGATTCCTTCAGGACTCCTCAAGATTGTCTCGGGTTCCACACAATGCTTCACGGTGTCGCAGGAGTCCTCTAGATCATTCAGAAATTATCAAGAAGTTTCGTACAGGCTCCAGAGATGCTTTGTCAGACGCTCTGACGAGGCTTCTTTTCAGAGGCTCACGAGGAGCTTCTCAGCAGGATTTAAAGAGCTCAGAGGTGCCCGAGGAGCTTCTCAGAGGCTCCCACGGAGTTTCTCAGGGGATTTGTTAGAAGCTCTGAAGGAGCTCTTCCGAGGTTGTCAAGATGCCTTTATCCGAAGCTCTCAAGAAGCTCGTCTCTTCAAAATTCCTGCGGGTTCTTCAAGTTTCTTCCAGATTATCCCGGGTTTCTCAGGATGTTTGCTTCAAGCTGTTTCAGGATTCTTCAGAGGTTATTCGGATTCTTCAAGAATTCTCCTAGGTGTCTCGGGGATCCTCAAGTATCCACAGAGACTCAATAAGTTTCGCAGAGGCTCTTAAGAAGCCACTCGGAGTCTCTGAAGAAGCCTTTCAGAGGCGCACAAGGAGCCCTTAAGAAGCTCTCAACGCGCTCCCCAGAGGGTTTAAATATGCTTCTCAGAGGCTCTCGCGGAGTTTCTAAGGGGCTCAATCAAAGCCTCTGAAGAAGCTTTTCAGAGATTGTCACGAAGCCTCTCCGAGGCCTCAAGAAGCTCGTCAGAGGCACCAACAAGGGAATATACCCTCCAGTCAGGAAACAAGCCAGCCAATTTCTCACCGTCCAACCAGGGAATGCCCGTCCAAACGGGGACGTGCCCATCGAACCAGGACAATGAAAATTCGATCGTCCGAAAGGGTCTGCCGGTCTGCCCTGTGAGATTGTCAGTTTGCATATGCCGCCTATGCGAACGGCCCCGAAACAGGGCCGCGGGAACGCACGGGGGAGTGGCCCGTTCCGGTGGAATCCGCGCGAGGCGCACATGCAAAGGGGCGCGAACCCCCGAGGCGTTCGGCCGGGGGTCGTCCGAGGGGCTGGCCCCTGCGATTGGCAATCGGCATAGGCCGCCCATGCAAGTCGCCCCGAGGCAGGGCCCCGAGAAACGGCACCTGGGGGTGGTTCGCTGCAGTGGCCGTAGGCACAGGGCGCCTGTGCATCACATGGCCCCCGAGGAGCAGTTTCGCTCAAGCGTGCGATTCGGGACCCAGTCGGGCGGACGGGGGAAAGTGTGCGGGGGGGGGGAGAGTCTCGCGCGCCTTGGGACCCCAGAGGGGTCGGCGGATGTGGTGAGAGATGATGATCGCGTTCCCCCCCCCCCCCTTCCCCGAGAAAGCAGGTCCTGCCGCCCTGTTCAGTCCTTTTGGCGAAGACGCCGCCGCGGGCGATCCGCGCCCGCCCCCCGCCTCCCGATGGGCCGCTCGCGAGCCGACTCGCTGCCACTCGATCCGCCCGCCAGGGCCGTAACTCCGGTCCGATCCTGTTCGGACCGGTTCTCGGGGGCCCCCCAACGGGGTGGTGACCACACCGCGCGGCGAGTCGGTGGGGATTCGGGGCCACCGCACGGTGCGGTTTTGGGACTCGCGTCGTGCTCCGAGGACGTCTCGGGCGACGGGGGCCTCTGGGGTCCCGAGACCGTGCGGTGGCGGACCGTGCGGTGAGGTCTCGGGGGATGTCGAGGTCACCGCGCGGTCTGTCACCGCACCGTTTCGGGGCTCCAGTCAGAGCCCCGAATCGTCAGGGGTAACTCGGGTCAGGGATAACTCGGGTTCGTTTTTCGGGAACCCGAACCCGAGTTACCCCGGACCCGAGTTACCCCGGATAACTCGGGCGCCCAATCCAGAGATTCGCTCGCATCGGCTGGTGCTGGCCGGAGTTGGGCGCGGCGATCCGATGTCGGCACGCTTCGAGACGGTCCCTGGGCGTGCGCTTCCGACGCGGCCCGGTTTAGCGACGCGCGGCGACGACGACGACGACGACGGCGGCGACGACGACGACGACGACGACGACGACGACGACGACGGCGGCGACGACGACGACGACGACGACGACGGCGACGGCGACGACGGCGACGGCGACGACGACGGCGACGAAGACGACGACGACGACGGCGACGACGACGACGACGGCGGCGACGACGACGACGACGATGACGACGAAGGCGCGGGGGAGACGCGGTCCAGTGTGGGCGTGCCTCCCCCCTCGGGCTGCCGCCTCGCTCCGCCGCCGGAGGCTGGCGAGCAGCACGCTCGACCACCCCCCACGGGGTCGATCCCAGCAGGAGGCGAGGATGCGCAAGAGGAGGGGGGCAAGCGTTGGCGAGGAGCGAGGAGGTGTGGGATTGGGAGGAGGAGGAGGAGGGGGAGGGCGAGGAGGAGGAGGAGGAGGAGGATCGATGGGCCTCGTGCCGTGTCTTGGCCCAATGTGTGCGTACCCCGCTCGGCCCCGCCGATGGCACGCAGACCGTGGTGGCCCTCATTACAACGCCTGCGTTGTACTGAAAGGTTTTGGTGGACAAGCGCACGTTGGCAGCAACACACGCTCCTCCTGCGCTGTCCCGTGAAGACAAAGGAGGCGCGAGCCTCGGGTGGGAGGAGGTGCTCTCTCACTCCCAGAAAGGTGGGAGGAGGCGTGCAGCCCCCTGCGCAGGCCTCTCTCGCACGGACTGAGCCCCGTTAATGGGCGGTCAGACAACCCATTGTCGAGGCTCGCGCCCCGCCAGGACCTCGTCGCGGGAACACAGCTGAACCGCGGAAGGTGTGCCCTGAGAGAGCTTGAGAAGCGTCCGCCAGCACGTCGCCTCGTTGCGGGCATAGCATGGGCTCCGCATCGCCGACAGAGCAGATACTTGCCTGTTGCCTCAAACTGGTGCTTAAACTCAAAACATTTCAGGGGAACTGTGAGCATGTAGCGCGCCCGCTGCTCTTTGAGCGTGTAGCGCTCCCGCGGTTCCGAAACTGCCTTGGTTGAAGCTCGAGAGGCTTCTCGACTGGACCAAAATACTTCCAACACTGCCCCCCATGGCATGCCAACCCCTGCTCATTGAAGCCAAGGGCGGTCCGGGCAAGGCGGACTGCAGCACCGCGCGCCCTACGAAGGACGCTTCCGTGCCGCTGCGCTCGGACCGCCGCCACAAACACCCGGAGGGCAGCGTGTGTGCACACTTCGCGCCAGGTTGCCACAACTTGGCCCGGCTCAGTGCAGCCTGGGCCAAGGAGTGGCACCGCGTGCGCCCGACGCCTGGGGGATTCCTCGAGGTCGTGAGAAGGCACCACGAGTGAGGCAGTGTTTTTTTGTCGGCCAAGCAGGCAGCCGCGCCTCAGGGACCGACGATCTGGCCACAGCCTTGGCCGGCCGCGAAAGTACATCACGGTTGCGCTGAACCTCGGTTTTGCCGGACCGCACTGCATCTACTGGAATAGTACCTGTTTTGATCTGGCTTGCCGCCAGCTTGGCGAACAAAGCCAACCAAGCGTTCCCAAGGAAATCGTCGACACGAGACGCCCCCACCCTCTCCGAGAACAACTTACCGCCCAACATTCCGTCAAGATCTATCTCCACGGGCAATGATCCAGCGAAACACTGCTCGCCAGGCACTCGCGTGCCTGTGGGCTCCTGAACCAAGACTCGCATCACGGCCCTAGCCCTCCTGCACACCGCTGAGGGATGGTCCGACACGATCTCGGAGGGCCTCGAGGATAGCCCGGTGTTCGGCTCGTGGCACCGTTTGGCACCTTCCCGCGAGGTTCCCGTACGGAGGAGAGGGTGAGGAGGAGGGAGGAGGAGGAGGCGGCGGCGGCGGAGGAGGAGGAAGAGGAGGAGGAAGAGGAAGAAGAAAAAGAAGAGGAGGAGAAGGAGGAGGAGGAGGAGGAGGAGGAGGCCGCCCCCCCTCCCGCGGCACCGCAAGCAGAAGCTTGAAGAGGGCAGACGGCAGACGACGAGAGCAGGACGCCATCCGCGAGGCCCACAGGAATCTGCTTGTCGCGAACCACCCAGACAAAGGCATCGCGCGCCCATGGCGGCATGAAGGATCAGGAAGGGGGGCGGGGAGGGAGGGGGGAGTGCGGTCGGACCGAGGCAGAGGGTCGAAATCGGCTCGGGGAGGGTAGCTTAATGCTCTTCGTGGTTGATTGGATGTACACCTTAGGCGATGCTTGAGAAAACCTAAGTTTTCGTCCAGAGTCTCGCTTGTTCTTAACTTTTCAATGTAAATCCCAAGATTTTGATAGAACATCTGGGTTTTATTCAATTTCTGAGAGCATGAATTTCTTAACCCATGATTTCTTAAACATTTCGCAGGGTGTACTTGTGCACCCTGGGGGAGGAACCCTCGAGTGATCTTGTGGCTTGGGGTGTCTGGGCCGGCGAAGGGCCTCATGTTCTTGGCGGGTGTTCCTCTGTCCTGCGCAGGTCCGACCCCAGGGGGCGCGAGCCCAGGCAATTCGTCTCTCTCTCTCTCTCTCGTCCCCTCGGTTGAGGGCCCCTCCTCTCCTCCTCCTCTTGCCCTCTCCTCCTCCTCCTCCTCCTCCTCCTCCTCCTCCTCCTCCTCCTCGTCTCCCTTCTCCCCCAAATACCTCCTCGTCCGTACCCTCATGGGCGCGACGGGACATCGCGATTTGCGGTCTGGCTGGAGAGTCGTTCGTCCATTGGGATTGTGCGAGAGCGCGGAGATCACCCGCGCGTCACGCGGCGTGGGGCGCGAGCTCAGGAGCCCCAGGACCCGCACGCGGTGCATGCGGCTGCTGCGCGCGTGGGGCTGGAAATGCGCAGGGGCAGAGTTTCGGTTGTGCAGGGCGGGTGTCAAGCCGGCACGATCGAAAAAGGGCACACGCTGGCTATGATACAGAGCATGAGTCACGTGTGACAGCGCGCCACTCGCTGCCGTTCGACCTTTAGGGGACCCTTTTTGCCATTGCGCCAAAATTGGTAGCAGAGCTGCAACACGACCCCTGTATCGTGTCACTGCGCGCTCGTCTTTCCAGAGAGAGTAATCGCCTTGACTTGCTGAGCAGTTTCCCTCACTAGGGGACTGTGCCTTGCCCGGCCTTGCCGCCATGGCGTTGTCTTCTCTTCGCGATCGGTCGAACGCCGACGCGTTGACGCGATCAGAGACGAAGAGTGTCTCTTACATTTACGATGGCACGGTGAACGACTTCCACGAAGTGAAATCCCCCGCGGACATGCGCACGAGTGCCGCCTTGGCTTCAGTAGACTCCGAGCCGAGACGGATGTTGTAGAGGGCTTCAGAGGCGACGCGTTCGATATTGCCATGGTTATCGGTAGAGACACGTTCCTGACACCGAAGGGAAACGATCACCTTGTGCTTGCGATTCGTACTTCACTCTTCCCCGTAGCAGCACAGGAAGCCAAGATCGTGTTCCAGGTGGGGCAAAGACCTTACGAACCACTGCCCCGACAGGGCGGTGAATCGATGGTCTCGTACATTTCCCGCAGGAAGAGATGCTGGAAACTTGTCCCCAAGCTAGACCCTAAGCTTGTGATGACTGACGAAGTGCTTGGATCCCTTCCCTTGGACCATGCAGGCCTTTTACCTTCGGTGAACCTGATGGCGTTGACATCCACAGGGAATGTGACAACCTTCGACATGATCAAGGACGTATTGATCCCCCAGCACGGCCACTTTCACATTCGCCAGCAAAAGGGCAAGGGTGAGTCTAGCAAATGCTCCAACCCCGCGGCGTGGACACAACACAGGCCCAGCTACCCCAACAGGAGCAAGGTGCGCCACTCTAGGCCGCCGTGCGCCTACCACGCTGCAGACGACGGCTGGTGCGAGCAGGAGGAGCACGACCCTGAGGAGTTGAGCCCCCATGGATATCACGCGTCCGGCTATGCACCAGAGCGCGGCTGGGACGACGCAGCCTGGGACGATTACGCCGAGGAGCACGCTTGGGGCGACGAAGAATCGCGCGCTCACTGGGCTCCCGCCCAGGGGGATGACGAGCTCGACGTCGAAGTGGTTGACGAAATGGTTAAGGCGGCTGGGTACACCGAGGAAGAAGCTTCCGACGTGATCCAGGAGGACCGGGTGGCCAGCTTTGGCACCAAGGGAAGGGGCAAGGGCACAGGAAAGAGCGGAGGCAAGGGCTACAACCACACACCTTGGTGATCCAAGGGCAGCGGCAAGGGAATGGCGAGCGCAGGAGATTGCAAAACATTACATTTGAGGAGATCACGAACCGCTCAAAATCCAAAGCTTGCAGCGAAGTAGGCCGCTGGTCCAGGGGCATTGGGTGCAAGGGCAAGCCCAGGACAGCAGTGGTAGCGTTTACTGAAGAGCGACAGATCCAATTACGCGAGGACGATGACGAACAGGAGTTCGCATCTACCGGGGCCGTAACTATATCATCATCCAGTCATCATCATGTTCCAGAGAGCAAAGAGGAGACGATGATTGTTGGGGGGGCACTCGTCGCGCGCATGCCTGTTTGCGGCGCGGGAAGAGGTCCATGGAAGATATCCCGCAGGAGGTTCGAAGCTCTCGGACTCAGAGAGAAACGTACGATGTCCGCCTTATTCGGCATGCATAAGGATAAAATGACATTGCCAGCGTGTAGGAATACATGTGCACGGCATTGTTTGGGCTGTTGACGCAGAAGGTCAGAGGAACCTTAATTCCGTGATCGCCGAATTCGATACTCGCGAAATCAAGTCGGACAAGTTCCGCCATTGCGGGCTGGAGGTTGCTCATGACGCAGATTCTGCCTTCAGTATATCGGCTAAGGATAACATTGAGAAGCCCGAGGCTGCGTCCTATCCCAGGCACATCCTTCTCTCCGGAAATTGTGACGAAGGAGAGATACCTCAGCTCATGTCAGTCGTGGGTGCTCTTTTTTGGGTCAAACGACAATGCAAACCTGAACTGCTGCGTCGCGTGAGCCGCCTGCAGACTGCAGTGAGTCACGCGACGGCATTCCAACTCAAGGAGACCAATCGCGTCCTGGAGGAAGGCGCACAGTCCGCAGATCGCGGGTTAACGTTCACATGATGTGCCGCGCTATGGGATTCAGAACTGGTAATTCTGATAGTTGCTGACGCCAGCTGGGTAGGTGATGGTGATATAGCCAAGGGAAAGGTTGAGCCGCTCAGGCTTCAGGGGGCCAGGTTCAACGGGCTTGCTGGTCCTGGATCCATCGAGGGGAACAGCGACAGCGTTCACCCAATATGCGTGTCAAGTAGGGTCATCTGACAAGTGTAAGTCGACGCTTCAAGCAGAGACATTCGCATGTCTATGGGGTGTGGGGTCTGGAGTACGTATTCGCGCTGCCATCGCCGACGCGCGAGGTACGCTTGGTGCCGGGCATTCGTTGCCAACCGCTTGGGAAGAAAAGGCAACTATGACAATGAGATGCTTGTGGATGGCTGATTGCCAACGCTTCGAATACTATGGCGACAACAGCAGACAAACTTTTAAGTATTGATCTAAGTAGTCTGAAGCAAGACATATGGACCATTGGTCATGAAGAAGTTGACATGTGGAATCCACGTTTGCTTTGTGGTAAAAACCGTTGGACACGAGTATTATGGCTGTGTATTGTCTTACACAAGCCATGCCTACTGATTTATCTGGTCCAACTATTGTGTACAGGGCCATATGACGCAACTCCAGACCCAGTGTCGACCTTCAAGAAGGTAAAGAAGCAACTGGCGAGGGCCAGAGCGAGTACTATCCCGGGAGGGAAGTGATGTCACTGTGTACTTTGAAGTGATGTGACTGCCCCGGCAAATCAGTGGGCGTTTGTTGTCCCCGCCGCGTGGCCGATAGGGTCTCGTGCGTGCCGTCGTTTTCTGGTTTGGGGGGGTGCGATGTGTCCGCCGCCTATTGGCGGGGATCTAGATTTTTAGTTACAAGCTTGACCCGAATGGTTGGTCCACCTTTTCCCCACGGTCGGTCCTTTAACACCTTGACTGCTATCCCGACTGGGGGTACTGTGCCTGCTGCCTTCTAGAGACTTACAGGGATCAGCGTGACTACGCGATACACCGGCTAGCTCGTGACAAGTATTCACGGGCGCGAGATAGATCAGAGCGTGAATTACCTACCCCGTTTTCGTTTTCAGGCAAAACCAAGTCATACCACGCGCCTCCTCGCCAATCAGCCTGACCAGTACAGGCCGTAGTTTGGCATCGGTTGGTATCTCTTGGATGCGAGGGTGGTCCAAAGCGGGGTCTTCTTGTTTGCTCCCTAAAAGAGCATGTGTCACGCGTGACAGCGCGCCATTCGCTGCCGTTTGACCTCTAGGGGTCCTTTTTTTTTCTGCCGTTTGGTTTTAAAGGTATCTTAATCACACTGGCGGTTGAAAGTAGGTAGTTCTGGATCCCCCAAATCGCAATTTATTGGAAGCGTCCTCGTAATTCGAAACGCTACATGCTTGCAGTGCTTGCTATTCTTTGGGCGGGCCGGAACCCAATCTACTGAATCCGCCTCCCTACTTCGCGTCTCGACCTTCTTCTTCCGACGGGCGGGTACGGAAAGAAGGGGCTTGAAGAGCGACAGCAGGTCATGTTGGAGTCTGAACAGGAGTCGCTGTCGCTGCCGCAGGCGGTGTCCACCTGAGACATGGAGTCGCCTTCCCAACAGCGGCCGCTGTCGGCTTTAGACGACGTTTGCCGTTGAGAATCGTCCGGGTGTCAGCGGAAGCTTTCCGTCTCCAGTTGCACGGGGGGGCCTCCCGTGCCGCGGTGCCTCCTGCCTGGCCAGAAGCTATGACAAAAAGGGCATCGAAGTACGCATCCATTGGGAACACACACGCACACCCACACAAACGTACACACACACACACACACGCACCGTCACACGCACACACATACACACACAAACACATACACGCATCCAACATATGAGAATTGCAACAAAACCGATTCCAGAATGCAGTCCTCGCGCCAACCCGAATGCGTAACGAAGGGTTTTTGTTTGTGGCCAGTTCCGGCGAGCCTCTGCCACGAGCAGGTCTCCCGACCCAGATCAAAGGAACGGCCCGACTACCTGAACCCCTCCCGAGCCCAGCGTGGTGAGGGTCGAGCCTCCAATTCGCTCGAACACTGCTGAGTCTCTCGGGCTGTCCAGAGCCCTCGCCCTCCTCCCCTGCCCCTCGGCGGGCTTGGACATCCGTGAGTCTGGGTGGGCTGGCTGGCTCCTCGTCCCGCCCCCTCGGCTCTTCACTCGGAGGAGGGCCGACTGAGGCAACGGCGGCTCCCCGGGTCGGCCCACCTCCGCCCAGATCAACGGCACCGTAAGGGGTACTTACTAACGGGTACTTTGCAATGTTGCCGAAAGTTGCCACTTGAGGGCCTCTTTCTGGCAATGCAGCGTTGCCCGCATCGGGAAGGGTTGGGTTCGCTGGGTCACTGGCCAAAGTACCCGTTTGTGGAGCCCCCGCTTGTGGGGCGCTGACCAGAGTCAGTCTCTCCTCCAGACCCCCCCCTTGGGTCCACCGTGGCCCGTTGCTCCGAGGCGGGCCCAGACGCGGCGACGCGTGGCCTCCCCCCGTTGGAGGGCAGGGTGCAGGGTCGGGAGTCTCCCCTCTCGCCCCTGCCGCCCGTCCTCCCTCCGCCCGCCGCCGTGCCTCCTGCCTCCCCCCTCGCCCCTGCTGCTGGAGGGAAGCGAGACGATGACCATGACCAGAATTGAAGCGGAGACGTCCGTGCCGATCTCGGCTACCGTCCAGATGGGTCTGCATCGGCGAGATCCCGCGACGACATCGTGGTCATGGTCATCGTGCCTCTCCCTTCGGTCCCCCTCCTTGGGGCACACGCTGCCCTGGATGAGGGGCTCGTGGATCCGCCGCGTTGGCACCAGGCCCATGCCTCGGGGAAGGTGCCCCGGAGGCACGTGGCCAGTGCCGCCTGCCTTGGCGGCGGAGCGCACCGATTTGGCATGGAGGCGGGGCGCGTGGCCAACCCACGCGCCCCCTCCGTGGTGTCGCTCCCTCGGTACAGGCGGCGATCGCCGCGCCCCTTCTCCTCGGCACGCCCACGCCCCGCGGCCCCAAAGGGGAGCCCCCGCCGAAGGCACACCCACAGCGCGGTTTCCCAGCCGCATGTGGTTGGGCTCTTCGCCCCGCCAGTCCGTGCGCCAGTCTCCCGGACAGGCGGCTCCACGTACATCGCGTCCAAGATCAACGAGGCGAAGGAGGTGATGCTCGGGAAGAAGAGGATCGAATGAGCGTCGGGGGCGATCGGCCTCAGGCCGCGCCCGGGCCGCGCCTGCCTCGACACCCTTCTCCGCATCGGGCTGGCCCGCCCCTGCCCCTTGCTCCCCTCCCTCTCTCCTGCATGCTCTCGCGGCCGTCTTCAGGAGGGAAACATATACATAAACACACCTTACCGTAGCGCTGCTTCTCACGAGAATATGGGAAAGCCAGGGCTAGAAACACACACCCAGAAAACCTGGAACAATCTCTGGGGAACCCTGGGATTTGTGCCCAGTTGCTTGTGCCTCCCTGGTCCCCTCCTCCTCCTCCTCCTCCTCCTCCTCCTCGTCCCCCTCCTCCTCCTCCTCCTCCTCCTCCTCCTCCTCCTCCTCCTCCTCCTCCTCCTACCCGTCCCGGGTCCAGGCGGGCCTTGCTACCTCGAACTTTGGGACGGCGCTCTGAGGTAGGGGGCCAAGTGGTTCGGCCCTTCGCCACCAGCCACGACACGCCGCTGCCATGGCCCACGGCGGCGGCGGCAAGTGCGGTGATGATGCTTGGGGCACCGCGCTCGGCGACTACGGCCAGGCCCCACTCGACTGGAAGGGCAGAGGCCGTGGCCGCGGTCGTGGCGGCGGAAAGGGTGGCAAGGGCGCGGGGGACCCAGCCCCGTGGCAAGTTCGCCGCCCGCCATATCCCGCCACGTTGAGCGAGAACTCAAGTGGAGATGCACGGTGTGCAACTGCGCGCGAAACGTCGATTCATGGGTGTCTTGCAAGCGTTGTGGGGAGTGGCGCACGGAGGCCCCCAGCCAGGGGGCAGATTTTGCCTTCGGGGATGGCCAGTAGAGGAAGTGTCCGTCTCGTCCTCTTTCCACTCCTTCTGCTGCTGGGCCCGCAGATGCCGTGGACCCCAACCTCTCCGTGGATGAGCTCGACCAGCTCGTGCGGCTGGCAGAAAAAAAGCAGGACATGCGCATGTCGCAGGTCGTTACAAACATCGGCTCCAGAGCAAGAGAGCTGGCCCCCTTCCACCGCAGCAGCGTATCTCCGACATCGGCGCTAGAGTTGCTGAGATCGAGACTTGCTTGGACAAGGAGGTGCAGAAACCCGATCTGTACCAGCCCTGGGTCCAGCAGCAGTTGGCCACCGCCACCGAGCTCACCGAGAGGCTGCACACGGCCGGCGCGGAGTACAAGGCAGCCATATCCTCCTTCGTGGGCGCCCAGCAGCCCAGGGCGGGCTCCCAGCCCCCAGCCACGCTCTCCATCAAGAACGTGGTCGAGGGCAAGGGTGTCATTCTCCAGCTCATCGATATTGAATCGTATTTCGACGTTGAGGGGTATGAGTGTACAGCGGCAGATCGCAATACTATACATGCCAGCCGTAATCAACTGTGCGAACAGCCCCAGGACATCGCCAAGGGCCTCTGCTCTGGCGCCGTCGAGCGCATGGAGTCCATCAAGGCGGACCACGCTGCCCACGTCTTCCGCCTCCCCCCCCCCCCCCCCCCCAAGAAGCGCAAGGAACCCGGCGAAGGTCCTGGCGCAACTGGCGCGGCTGAGTCCGCGCGCGTTCCCGCCCCTGAGGACAGGGGGACTGGCGCTGGCAAGGACAAGCAGGTGTCCTTCGGTGCGAGCTCGACAGGTCGATCATCGCGCTCACCAGCAGCGGCTACCACGGCGACTAGTTCGGCCATGTCAGCTGCGACAGCAGGCGTGCGAGAGCGCGCCGCGGCCCACGCTCAGGCGTCTGCTTCAACCCCTTGCCCCCCAGCTGCCCCCGCGGCAGCCGCCAGCCCCGCGCAGGAGCTGCATGGGGGGCTCTCACCATCGCTAGGAATTCGCAGCGGCCAGCGGCAGGAGAGTGCACGGGCGCGCCCGCGCTGCGACTGTCGCGGCCACCACTGCTCGCTTATTGCGAACTCGTTGCGTCGGCTTCTGCGAACCGCCGCCTGGCCCACTCCGCGTCGACGGCGTCGGCCGCGCGTGCGAGTGCCAGGCTCGGTGCCGACCTTAGGCCTCAGAAGTTTAGCTAGTTCGCGGCCCAGGCGCCTCCCCCGCGCGCGGGCCCTGGCCCCTGCCGGAACCCCCCTGACTCACCCCAAACCCTCAGACAGCCTCGCGCGCTGCCGCGGAGTGGCCCTGCGCCCAACCCGCTCAGCCTAACTTCCCCCCCCCCCCCCCCGCGCCACCGCGCGCACGCGCGCGCCGCGCGCACACCACACAACAACACACACACACACACAACACACACACACAAACACACTCACAACACAACACACACACACACACACACACACACACACACACCACGCGCGCGCGCGCGCCCCCCCGCCGCCCCCGCCCCGCCCCCACCCCACCCCGCCCCCACCCCTTGGAGAAGTGTAGTTTTCCTTGAAAGGGGAGACTCCCAACTGCGCGGCGCGGTCGACGCTGCAGAGGCGGCCCCCGCACTGCACCTCGCGCGCCATCCGTCTGCAAGAGCATCACCTTCGGCAGGGGGTCGAACTTGATCGCGCCTCTTCACGGGCCCAGGCCCACGGGCGGCAAATCTGGCTCACGCCTGCCCCCCCCCCCCTCCTCCGCAGGGGGGCGTCGGTTCGAGTCGGCGCCATGGTTCGCGACGTCCTTGGTCTTCGCCCCCCGTCGGGAGGGCGCTTTCTGATTCCACGCAGGGTGGTGGGTGCGGGTGCGATTGTCGGCATTCCAGGTGGAGACACCGTCTATACGTCTCGGGCCTCAACCTGCACCACACTCGCAGGGACCGAGTGATCAGAACGTTGGTTTTCTGTCCCGTGTGGCCGCTGCTTTGGAGCATTGGGCTGGGCCATATATCCTTGGGGCTGATTTCAATGTGGAGCCGTGTGTGTTTCTTGGGTCCCGGTTTGCCAGGTCTTGTGAGGGCCGCGCCGTGGTTCCTGAGGCTACCCCTGGGTATTGTCTTACTCCCGCTGGGGTGCGTTTACTCGACTATCCCGTGGTCTCCAGTGGGCTATCCCAGGGACTATCCCAGGTGCTCGTCGAACACGCGGTCCGCGCGTCGCCGCGCTCGCCCGCCCCCTGGGTTTCTATCTTCAGTTGGCGCAGCCGTATGGATTGAGGTTCCGCCGACCCCTGCTGGCCCCTGCGGGCCCCATCATTGGACCTACACCACAGCCTCCACATCGGGGTGGAGCTCAGGCCCTGTGGCGACAACTCTTGGAGGCTGTCGAGTCTGGCAGGACCCACAGGAGCTGCTTGATGCCGTCTGCACCTTGGGCCAACCCCTCGGAGCGGAGGCCGGCTAATTCTCGTGGCGCCAAGTTACCCTGTATAGATTCACGGGGCAAGGCCCCGCAGTTGCACGGGGCACCCGGTACTTGAGCAGGACAGGAAGCCCCCAGTTCGTTAGCCCTTTTGCTACGCCATCAGGTGGCTATATCTCATGATCAAACAGTATGCCTCTTTCCTCAGCGATTCCACAGGTGCTGGCGAGGCCCAGCAGGTGTCACTGTTGCGCGGTCCGTTGCAGGAACCTACTTCCTTTTTGCAGCGCGGGCTGCTCCACCATCGGCGCCAGCATGCAGATGTCCTACAGTTGTGGAGCAGCTGTTTGGCAGGGACTTATGCGAGCTGCTCGCTGAACAGCTGGACAACGCCACGTCGGATGCCGAGGCCCTCGCGCAGCTGGAATCTGCCTCAGCGTGGAAGCAAAGGCTTTTGGACAAGTTCGAAGCAGGCGCCAAACGAGCTCATTCGGTCGTTCGACACTTTACCCCTCTGGATCCTACGACGACTTTGCTGGCTAACGGGGTCGGCGGCTGATCCTCAGGCTCTACTAGACGGGCAGGCTCGACAGTGCTCTAGCAGGTGGCTGGCGATGCCTGAACCCCGACATCCTCAGGTAACCATTCGACTTATGCCTCCCCTACCTCCGCTTTACCCTGAAGGTTTCCGGGGTTGAAGTCGTAGAAGTCCTGCTGTCACGGCTGCCTTGGTCGACAGGTTCCACGTGCGACACTTCGCCTCGCTATCGGATGCCTCGCTCGACCTGATGCCCATGATTTACGAAGCTATGGGGTCCAGCAGTCCCACGCCAACGCAAGCTAGTGCCAGGGTAATGTCTCTCAGCAGGCTGGAGGCTTCAGGCCCATCGGCCTCTTCTCCGCTATGTATCGTCTTCAGGGAAGGGGGAGGGGGCCCCATGCTACAAGATGGGAAGGCGTTAACAGGCGGCCTTATTCTGCTGCCGGGAAGTTCCCCCCCCCGACGTCGCGCGGCGGCGGGCCGTGCGAAGGGGGGGTCGCAGTGCAGGAAGGAAGGATTCGGCCATTATGCGTTGGGCTTTTCTCCAGTGTTTCGAGACGATTAGCTTCGAACTCCTCCTTCACAGGTGCGCCCTGTATGGGTTTGATGTCGCGATTGCCCGATTGGTGGTAGCCATGCACAGCAGCGCCCGATTCATCACAATGGGCCATCACGTTTCGCATGGGAATGCGGCACGCTGCCCGTTCGCGATGACGATGGCCCGGATATGTATCATCGGTCCGCTCGACTCGGCGAGTGCCCCACGAGCTGTCTCGCTCGAAGTTTACATCGACGGCTATGGGTCACCGACAGTAGGCTCATACTCGGAAGTCATGACCTGTCGCAGGCAGCAGTTTCTTTGCATGCAGCGATCGTTGACGACTTAGGTGGCATTATTTCTCGCGAGAAGGCCAACCTGGTGGCCTCTCACCGTCATGCAGCAGTTGCTCTCCGCAAGAAGTTGGGAGCGCTTCCTGGCGAGCGCGTCGTTTGTTCTGCAGCCAACCTGGGGATCGACGATACTTCTGGACGGCCCCGTCGGGCCCCTAGGCTTTCCAAGGTTTTCCAGGTTCGGATGCCCACGCTGAAGCACAATCTGAAGCACGAGACCAACCAGCTGCAAACTATATTGCAGGCTTTAGGTGGGCACTCCAGGAAGCTGTTCATCACGGGCCCTCCACCAGGGTATTATTATGGGTGTGAATCCCATGGGATCTCGGACAGTGAATGGGGGCTCGCTTGCCGTGCGCATGGTCGATGTATCATGCCCAAGGCTGGATCCCGCTCGCTCACCCCTGCTGTGGTGCTCGACAAGGACCCCTCTTTCTATGGGCCCATCGCCCCCATCCTGGGGCACCCCAAGGAGCTCTGGGGGGCCCGCGTGCGCTCTTTCGTTTTCGCGCTGCCCTGGCAGGAGCTCCGCTCATCTTGGGAAGCCGCCGGCTTAGGTCCTGGGCTTGGCAGCTGGAAGCATGCCAGAGGCCCCACCAGTGCCATGAAGCTCAGTTTGCGCAGGATAGGATGGACGATGCCGAGCTCCATGGCGATGCGAGACCAGTTCGAGACAGACTGGCCGCTCACGTTGGTGAGCCCTGTTTTCCCTACCTGGGCTCTGCCTAGAAGGGTTCTTATTCTCTTAGCTTAAAGGGGCCGGGCAGTGCAAAGCGCCCCGGGCGGTTCCCCCAGTCCCCTGGGAGCGGTTCCCCCCAGTCCCTTGGGAGCTTTAGTTTTAGCTTTAGCTTTAGCTGTAGCTTTAGCTTAGCTTTAGCTTAGCTGTAGCTTAGCTTTAGCTCAGCGTTTCGCTTAGCTTTTCGCTTAGCGTCTAGCTTAGCTTTAGCTTAGCTTTAGCTTAGCTTTAGCTTAGCTTTAGCTCAGCTTGAGCTTAGCTGTAGCTTAGCTGTAGCTTAGCTTTAGCTCAGCTTTAGCTTAGCTTTAGCTTAGCTTTAGTTTTAGCTTTAGCTGTAGATTAGCTTTAGCTTAGCTGTTGCTCAGCTTTGGCTTAGCTTCAGCTTAGCTTTAGCTGAGCTTTAGCTTCGCTTTAGCTTAGCTTTAGCCTTGCTTTAGCTTAGCTGTAGCTTAACTTTAGCTTGGCTGTGGCTTAGCTTTAGCTTAGCTTTAGCTTAGCTTTAGCTTAGCGTTACTGTTACTGCGAATGCTGTTTTCCTAGGGGTTCCAACTCCTAGGTAGGGTCGCACTGGGATAATTTTTAAAAAGCCATTTGCGGCCAGCTGTTCTGCATCTGCACGAGCGTCGCGCTGGCGCTAAGCCCCCCCCCCCGCCCCAGCAGCCAGCTCGAGTTCGCCATGGCCAGGTGCACGTTATGTTGCCGTCTTCCAGATGCACGGCCTACGAGAAAAAAGGTTCAAGCAGGGCCCTGGCGTGCGCTGATGTGTGGAGTAAAACTCGAGCTCGAGCTGCTGGGCATCAACTAGGCGATGTTCTTCGCGAGCTGTGTGGCCGCGCTGGCGACGCTGTCCTTCGTCGGCTATGGCGCTGCGCAGCATGCCATGATGCGCGAAGCGAAGCCCTCGGTAGAGAGATCTGTCTGGCCCCGCCCCCCGAGCTCACCGAGCAAAGTGATCCCGAGGACTTTCTCCTGCGCGCCCGTGGGTTATACGCGCGTCCAGGTGACTGCATCTCTCGCCCTGCCCGTGAAATTGACGGTCCTGGTTCTGGAT